GATACTCGTGCCTGTGATTATATGATGATGACAGGTATCCTTGTATTTGGTAAAATAAATAGTAAGATTAGTTAATTGACTATAAATTGTCTTTGCATCTTGGCAAAACAGAGTCTTTTCTTTTTGGTTTAAGTTTCAACTTAAACTGGGCCTATCCTCCAGGTCACATGAAATGGTACTTCTATAAAGTACACATCTTTTGTTAAGTATTTAGGTGCAAACCTGGATCAAATTCATTTGGCGTCGCCCTTTGATGCTTTGCATCAATGCTTTTCTTGTGATATAATGGATTGTGCAAGTTATTCAGTTATTTCACTTTGCATTTTTATTGATATATAAAATGAAGGTGGATATGGATACGTACAACTGAGCAGCGTAGTGGTTAGAGAGTTCTGATTATGAGGAGAAAGTTGGATGATATATTCTATTATTCATTTAGTGTTAAGTGTCTTGCTCAAGAAAATAATAGAAAATAGCAAATGCAAAATTATAAATAATTACCTAATCTGTGTCGCAATTACAACGGTTAATGATAATAATACCTGTCATATATATATGTCAGATATTTTTTCTTGCATATTGTAAATATTCCATTATATTTTTAATTCTTTATCTTTATTTTCAACGCAAATTGAAATCATTACAGCCGTAACTATTTTCTTACAACAGCGTATGAAATTGCAACTTCATTCATAACGGAAAAATGACGTCATCCTAAGCGTGCCGATGTACAGCATGCGACTCGTCTGGCACCCCCTCCCATGCCAGATGAAATTTCCGGCATGTGTAAAACACACGAAAACGCCTGTTTGCTATGCAACTCCATCATCTTCATAAATCATCGATCGGCTTAAACTATTTCGCAATACTTTTTGGCTCTTCTCCAATTTCAGGAGATAGACTGGTACACTTGTCTCCGATCAATCGCAACTTTTTGGCCCTTTAATATTATTATAGATAATAGCCGAGGCAGTTCCGAATGTAGCTGATTATGTTCCGATTGTTCCCCTAGATTGGAGCAAACTCCTCGCAGCGGTTACTTCCCCTGATTTGTACAGTAACAAAGCGTGACGTAACCGCTGTGAGGAGTTTGAGATTGGAGGTGGACTGGTTCTCTGTCGAGTATGTCTCATGTGTCCTACTTGGCTATATTTTTACGAGTTTTTCACAAAGTTTACTGTACTTCACGCATCTTCATAATTATTTAGATGAAGATCAGCGCATCTTCATATATAAACGAAGAGGTGAAGATTGATATTGCGAAATAGCATGAATAATAAAAGAAATGCATTTCGAAATGGCCTATAGAAATTTTCTTACATAAAGTTTAAATTAAATTCCTTTCACGGCAAACATTCACGAATTCGAAAACCTAGGTTAACGCCGTTTTCCGGTACTTTCTTTACATAGCTGTGGGAAATTCCGTTAATGGAGTGTAATAACGAATTCTTCGTTTTTGGTCGTTATTGAATCAACAGATACTACTATGTAGGAAAATAATTAAATATCATTGTAGGAATAATTCCATACAAAAATAAAGTAAAATACGCAAGTTTAATCACAAAAAATCTCTCGTTATTTATTATGGAAGATGCCACTACGACTGTTTTAATTTCATTGAATTTCATAATAAAGAATTCAATTTTATAAAAATTTGCAATAGTTGTTGAGGGAACATTGATAATTTTCAATCACGTCAAGTTTTTTCACCTTACACGGCGAAATAATGATAGAAAAGTAAATGTTCCAGTGGTATGTACTTCATTTGGTGAAATTCCCCGGAGGTAAACCCGTAACATACCGGAAAATGGTGTGACGAATAAGTCTATAAACTGAAGTCAAAGTGAAGGAATCACATATTCATATATGAAGCAATAACCTTTTAAACATCTTTAATAGATCCATGGAAACAACATGTATTTAATAAATAGGCGATGTAATTGCGTTGTTTTTTTTGTTTTGTTTTTTCTTTCTTTCTCTTTTTTGCTGAAATCACGAGAGCCTGACCCGGTGCGTAGTTTGCGTAACGCACTTACGTGAGTACAATTTATCTAGGAAAATGAAAATAATATATAATATGATGTGAAATTATCAGCATAACAATTGTAGAGGCATACATATTTGATGTGTCGTACAATAGGTCAGGATGTGGCAACTATTGATCAAATGGGTATTCTTCTTTAGTTCAGATAATCTTTATGTTCATTAATGTGTTCGTTTAAACATATGCATTGTATATCTCTTTACATTTCAACACATTTTTATCTTTACAGACCTTAAATAAATAAGCGTTGAACACTTTCAACTTCATTATAAACATATACATACAAACTTGCATATCAAAAATAACTTACATGACGTCACTTATTGTCCAGAGACAGCGACATTATTAGCCGAGAAAATGTTCTAAGACTAAGACTACATCCTACTTTATTCGAAAACATGTTTAATCCCGCAAATTTCGAAGCGTCAGAATGAAAAATAAAATAAAGTTCAATATTTAGAAAAATAAAGTTCGCGATTCTGAAAAGAGACGTGGAATAGTCTAAGTATGTGCTACCGACTCACTTCCGACGGTTTTTATGTTTGTATTATCCTTTGTTTTCTTTAGGCTGTGCTAGGCTGCCAGGCTGCCAGGCTGCCAGGCTGCTAGGCTGTTAGGCTGCTAACTTCACAATTTTCGAAGCGTAAAAAAATCAATATTAAAAAAAATAAAGTTAGCGATACTGAAAAAAGACGTGGAATAGTCTAGATATGTGCTACCGACTCATTTCCGACGGTTTTCATGTTTTTATTATCCTTTGTTTTCTTTAGGCTGTTAGGCTGCTAGGCTGCAAGGCTGCTAACTTCACAATTTTCGAAGTTCAATATTTAAAAAAAAAATTCGCGATACTGCAAAAAAACGTGGAATAGTCTAAGTATTTGCTACCGACTCATTTCCGACGGTTTTCATGTTTGTACATTCCTGCTAGGCTGCTAACTTCACAAATTTCGAAGCGTCAGAATAAAAAAAAAAATATGTTACGATAAAGTTCAACATCTTAAAAAATAAAGATCACGATATTGAAAAAGGCGTGGAATGATCTAAAGAAGTGCTACTAATGTATTTCCGACGATTTTCATGTTTGTACTATTCTTATTTTGTTTTAGGCTGCTAAGCTGCCAGGCTGCAAGGCTGCCAACTTCAGGCTGCTGGGCTGCTAGGTGGACCCGAAAAATAAATATTTTAAAACTTCATAAAGGACCATTCATATTTGTTACAGAAATTGTACACCATATATTATTAGCCTGCGTTCAAGTCTTTCATTCTTATGTGCTTCTGTTCGGCTGATCGATATTATTAAAACCATTTCAATAACTGTAAAAGTTTACAAGATCACCAACTTCACAAAAATTATAAAATAAAGAAAAAAAATGACAAAATAAAAACTTTCTCTGAAAGTGATTTTTTCTTTATATGTATCCTTTAAATAACAACAATAATCTTTAAAACTTCATTAAATGCCGTTTTATTGTTGAAATAACATTTCTATAACATTAATTTTTTTGGCCGCCAGGCCGCTGGGCCGCCAACTTCACAAAAATGACAAAATAAAAAATTCTCTAAAAGTGATTTTTTTCTTTTTATATATCCTTTAAATAACAATAATTATCTTTAAAACTTCATTAAATGCCGTTTTATTGTTAAAATAACATTTCCAGCACACTAAAATTTTTGGCTGCCAGGCCGCCAGGCCGCTGGGCCGCCAACTTCACAAAAATGACAAAATAAAAAAAATTCTCTGAAAGTGATTTTTTCTTTTTATATATCCTTTAAATAACAATAAATATCTTTAAAACTTCATTAAATAACGTTTTATTGTTAAAATAATATTTCTATAACATTACTTTTTTTGGCCGCTAGGCCGCTGGGTCGCTGGGCCGCCAACTTCACAAAAATGACAAAATAAAAAAAAAATCTCTGAAAGTGATTTTTTCTTTTTATATATCCTTTAAATAACAATAATTATCTTTAAAACTTCATCAAATGCCGTTTTATTGTTAAAATAATATTTCTGTAATATTAATTTTTTTGGCCGCTGGGCCGCCAACTTTACAAAAATGACAAAATAAAAAAATTCTCTTAACGTGATTTTTTCGTTTTATATATCCTTTAAATAACAATAATTATCTTTAAAACTTCATCAAATACCGTTTTATTGTTAAAACAATATTTCTGTAACATTAATTTTTTTGGCCGCTGGGCCGCCAACTTCACAAAAATGACAAAATAAAAAAATTCTCTTAAAGTGATTTTTTTCGTTTTATATATCCTTTAAATAACAATAATTATCTTTAAAACTTCATTAAATGCCGTTTTATTGTTAAAATAACATTTCTATTTTAATTTTAACATTAATTTGTTTGGCCCCAAGGCCGCTGGGCCGCCAACTTCACGCCGCCAGGCCGCCAGGCCGCTGGGCCGCCAACTTCACACATCTTGTTCGAGCATTAGTTATATATTTATCTTTATATAATCTGCCTCACCAACCACAAATGCTATGAAAACATTCTGTTTACTGTTGAAGCCTTTTAGAACACGTTATATACGGTCATGTCAATAAGTGAATGATATTGATGATAGACAACCTTTATCCTGATCAATTTTATTGGAATTCAACACCTATCTCAGTGATATAACGTGTTGTTTCTCCTCAACTATATAATAGCCTCTTCGTGGAAACTGATACTACCCTTGCTACCATTGCAGAACAAGATCAAGTCAGTGTTTATTTTGAGATTTTCTCTACATATGATGAATTCTTTTGCCCAGGTGGCCCAGTTCATTTTATATATTTATCGTGATGATCGCTATAGAAAACATATATATTGATCTACCTTAATATGAGCATGCAATGAAAACTATGGAAGAAATGTTATGATTGAGTCACCTGTATGTAAGAAGAGTTGGTTGGAGACAGAGACAGGGTGAGGGTATACGAACCTTTATCAATACCTACCGAGACCTAAGAATGTGTACACATCTTTCATGGTATCACCTATATGTTGTGCATAGTTCTCAACTTTTATAATCTTAATTTGCTCACGTGGAAATGCTCGGAAATAATCTTCTATGTAAATGTGATAAAACCCAACTTGAACTCGTAACTTTAAAAAGAAAATAAGCCAGCTAAGAAATATTAAATGTGAGGAAGCTAACCAGCAAGTTTAAGGGAGTTTTTGGTTACACAACTGGTTGAGGCGTATGGCATTATAACAGTGTCGGTATGACCAAGCCAAAACATAAGAACTTTTATAACATTCGTCAAAACGTTCCGTACATGTTCGAACAACATCGAATCTATCCGTATCTTATAATTTTTATGAACGTTTATTTAGAGTCTGATTTTTACGCCGCATAATATTTTTATATAGCTCTACGGACAGGATGTATCGCATATAGCTCCTCAAGAGATATCGTTTTGTTCCAACAAATAAATGTCACGACTTTGACGAATAAAGCTCCCCGTCATGAAGTTGGTCAACGTCACCATCTATACAATCATCAAAGTCATAACAATTATCACAACCATCATCATCGAAATCGTCATAATAAAAATCTTCATAACGTCCATCATATTTACGAAAATCATCATCGTCATCATAATCATCACCATTTTCATTATGATGACAATAATCATCATCACCTTTATCTTCACCATTATCATCAACAAAATCATCATAAAGTCTATCATCATCTTCATCAAAATCATCATCACCTTTATCGTATCATCATCATCATGATAAAAATCACCATCAAGTTCAAAATAGTTATCACCTCCAACGTCATCTTTCACCATCAACAAAATCGTCAGCACCTTATCATCATCATCAGAAATAGAATCATAATTATCACAACCCCAATCATCATCATCTTCATTAGAATAATCATTACGTCATCCAAAATATAATAATAATCATATGTAATGATAATCATTCGCATTATCACCATTAAATCATTTTCATCTCCGCCATCATCAAGCTAAAAATTATTAACACTTTCATCATCACTTACATCATTAAAATCATAATCATCATCGAAATTCATCATGACAGAACCTTTCCCCCTTAAACCTTACATGTTTCAGTATTATATCCATATAAATATGTTTAACATGACTTGCTAAAATATCAGGCACTGGGAAAGAGTACTTATTGATAGTAATGATGATGATGATGTAATGCTAATGGTACCGATGATAATGATGTAACAATAATGTTAATGATCATGATGATGTACTGATGACGATGATGTTTTGGTGATGACAATAATCAGCTAATGGTGGTGGTGATGATGTGGATAACAATGTCTCCATGATGACGATGATTATGTCCCCATCATGATGATTTACTGATAGAAATAATGATGATGATGCACTGATGATGTACTGATGATGATGATGATGTTCTGATGATGATGATGTACTGATGATGGTGATTATGATGATGTTGATGTATTTTAAAGATGATGACAATGTTCTGAGGATGATGATTATATTTTATCATTGACATTAAGTATAGAAAGAGATTTATCCGTCAAAACGGGACATCTTGAGCTCCCTTTTGTTGGCAGCTATATTTGTTGCACTTATTAAATATTTTAAGAACAAAATTATGAAATTAATTTAATGAATTGTATAGAATTGTCTATATAAGTATAATAAATTTGATTAAAAAAGAACAATAAATAATCACAAATATACGTATACCCTAGGTTTGACAGAAATGACTTGTGAAACGTTTTAAAAAGTGAAACCTACCGCTGGTTCCATAAAATATGTGCAGTAACGAACGGTGTATCTTCTTAAACAGTCGTTCATATAATATAACGATGACACTACTTGTTTATGAAATTCTTCCGCGCTCTCTCCGTCCTCTCCAAAATATAGATATTCCGAATATAACCTGGAGTAAGTTGATCCTTATATTAGGCATGAAATATAGATATTCCGAATATAACCTGGAGTAAGTTAATCCTTATATAGATATTCCGAATATAACCTGGAGTAAGTTAATCCTTATATAGATATTCCGATAACCTGGAGTAAGTTAATCCTTATATAAGGCATGAAATATAGATATTCCGAATATAACCTGCAGTAAGTTAATCCTTATATAAGGCATGAAATGTAGATATTCCGAATATAACCTGGAGTAAGTTAATCCTTATATAAGGCATGAAATGTAGATATTCCGAATATAACCTGGAGTAAGTTAATCCTTATATAAGGCAAGAAATATAGATATTCCGAATATAACCTGCAGTAAGTTAATCCTTACATAAGGCATGAAATATAAATATTCCGAATATACTTTGCAGTAAGTTAATCCTTATATAAGGCAAGAAATATAGATATTCCGAATATAACCTGCAGTAAGTTAATCCTTATATAAGGCATGAAATATAAATATTCCGAATATACTTTGCAGTAAGTTAATCCTTATATAAGGCATGAAATATAAATATTCCGAATATACTTTGCAGTAAGTTAATCCTTATATAAGCCATGGAATATAGATATTCCGAATATACTTTGCAGTAAGTTAATCCTTATATAAGGCATGAAATATAAATATTCCGAATATAGCCTGCAGTAGGTTAATCCTTATATAAGGCATGAAATATAGATATTCCGAATATAACCTGCAGTAAGTTAATCCTTATATAAGGCATGAAATATAGATATTCCGAATATAACCTGCAGTAAGTTAAATCCTTATATAAGGCATGGAATATGAAATTCTCTATACTTAAGATGAAAACAAAAATCATTTAATCTTTTCAAACTATACGCATAATAAAAACAAATTTCTGAAACGTGAACCATATAAAATAGGTCTACAGGCTGCAAGGATGTCCCTTTTTAAGGTGGAATATATTTTAGATAAGATGATGATATAATGATAATAATGATGATGCTAGTTTTCGTGGTAATTTAGTTTTCGTTAATGTCGCAATATCAAAATTCATGTTTAACAACTGGTATTATGTCAATATTAAGCCCGTCTCACACAGAATACACAGCTTATACGGTTGTGTATAAACCATGAGTTTATCCGAGTTACATTCGGGCCATTCGTGTGTATCCGTGTACACCGGAACGCCGGAATGTGAAAATAACGCACTTTTCGTGCAATAAGTAACACAGAATTGTGCAATAAATGGCAGATACCTGACAGGATTTCCAACGCGGTAAGTAAACTGGCCAATATATATTTTTTATTTAACCGAACTGAAAAGAAAAAGAAATAGCCGCAAACAGTTGCGAAGACATGACTCTTTATCCCTCATCAAGATTATTTCCACGAAATTGTTTACTTTTCAAGATCATCCGTGACCGCCGTTTTGAGCGAGATTTTGGTTGTTTTTTTTCGACCCGCTATTAGTACAACGATGCATATTATACGGTATAATTACGATTTTCGGTACGCAAGTGACATTTACTTAACTTCTGGTGACATAGAAAATTGAAATAAGCTGATAAAATGGGATTCAAGTCGTTTTTATGAAGTAACGCCGACGTACGTGAATTGTGCTTCGAGGTAACGCCGGAAAATGTGATTTTTTCGTATAAGGTACTGAACTGTTACACAGGTTTAATACCATAAATCGGCAAGTATCAGCACTTTTCAAATATATTTTTGTGGGGAAACTTTAATTCGTTTTATACAGAATTCATTTTAGTTTGATTGCGTAGAAAATAAAGACACAGTCTCGATTCGGTCCCTGAAACCACAGAGCTATAAAGTTAGTTAAGTAATATAAGCCTTTGCTGAAGTGAGTAGGAAGCAATGCGTGAAAAAGTTCCTACTCAAGGAAATAACGGGGTAGCAACGGGGTAGCAATTCCTTAATACCTATTGAGATGGGCTTTGTTAAATTATAGAATCTTTCATTGTTCACACTCTTTATTAATTATTTGACATACGGTAGTAAACACAAAGAAGTCCACTTTAGACCTTCATGGCATGGATAGATAAAATCTTCCTGCACAAACACATCTCTCGTAGCTCTCCATATACATTGAGTTAAGAAACTCTAGGTCACCCTTTACCTGGTAAATGTATGAAATGGTTTTGCTCAGCTGTGAACATGGAATAGTTCATTCAAAGTCTGAGAGACTGGCATTAGATATTTAATGTATTTTTGTACAAATGAGCTACCTGAGAACAAATGGTCACTCTGTATGGATGAAACCTGGCTCTATACTGGTGGCCTCTTTTAATGTCATTAGTCCTTTTAGATTTGTAAACGTCTATAGTAATGCATAGCATAAGCTCTTACGGTAGATTCATATGTTTTTCCCATACAAGTTAACATATAATAAGAAACCCTAAGAGTAGGGTTATAATTTATTTAACTTTAGAAGAGGACAATAAGGTTATACTTTTACAAGTTTTGGGCGTTATAGTTTCTAAGTAAAATATATTTTGAATAAAGGTTACTTCCTTATATAAGTTAAGATAAAAAAAATTAAATAAATAATCCATTTTCACAGAAGTTCCCCAGGCAAATTGCTACAGCCAAATATTTGTTTTGGTTGGGTTTAACATCACGCCAACACTATAAAGGAGACTGTGCATTATTTCAGGCATAAAATATACATACACTTCTCTTGATTGTTTTCTATTATTTTCATATTCAATGTATTTGCAAAGGAAGTTTATTATTCTTATTTTGTAACAAGATCAGACGTGGGCAACAAGTTTGCAAATAATAATTTATTTCAGGAAACAATTGTCAAATAGTATTAAGTTACAATATGCAATCAAAATGTTTGTCAAGATCTAATTAGCATTTATTTTTTAATAAGTGACGAAGAAAATACATTAGCAAAGTCGCAAATCATTTGATTATATTCGCCGTTGTATGGCGTTTAACCTGAGTGTGTAGTGATAATTCTGTACCATATATGAAATAAATTACATTTTCCCGCGTTACCGCGAAGCACAATTCACGAACATCGGCGTTACCATATAAAAACGGATTGAAACACATTTATTTATTTTCAATTTTCTATATCACCAGAAGTAAAGTTTATGTCACTTGTCTACCGAAAATCAAATTTAAACGGTAATATATGCATTGTTGTACTCATAAAAGCGGACGAAAAGTCAAATGGTGGTCAAGCCATCGTTTTCACGGATGATCTAGAACCGTAAACAATTTCGTGGAAATAATCTTGATGAGGGATAAAGAGTAATGTCTTCTCAGCCGTATGCGACTATTCCTTTTTCAGTTGAGTTAAATGAAAAATATATTTGCCAGTTTACTTACCGCGTTGGAAATCCTGTCAGGTATTTTGATATTGCGGCATTAACGTTTTGTATTGTAACATTTACTGGTAAAGGAAAATGTTGCGACATTTAACGTCATAATTGCGACATTTAACGGCAAAATATGTTAAGACATTTAGGGGCGATTCCGACACTTAGCTTCGTTGCGACATATATCGGCGCCACAATGACTATTATAATATCAATGACGACAATGTCTCGTATAATCCTTGTGATTTAGTACTTCAAGAAATTAACAAATTCTATACCTTGAAACAGGATTTCTAAGCATGATAATTATTTTGGCGTCTGGGTTGATTTTTTTGACAATTTCTGCGTTTGTAAATGGTGGTAATTTCATGCGATTGTCCCTGTGAAATTGTAACAATTTCCGGTTATCCCATAACGTAGACGCGCTACAATCTCCTGTAAAATATTCAAAAATACAAATGTACAGTTATAACAAGTAAAGGTACTATTAAAATGTGAAAACATACATTTTATTATATACTTATAAATGAAATATTGAGAAATATTGATGAAATAAAATGCGTATTTTCATTTTCCGTATTTTCACTGTAAAAATTTATTTTTCACTACAGTGAAACATATTTTCCGTATTTTCACTGGTGTCTTGCCGAACTACTTTCTTTTAAATTATGCCATTACACAAAATTTAAGGGAAAGTCTTTCAAATTTTATAGCAAAAAAGAGAAAAATATATATAATAAACAGAAAATTCAAGTTTTTTCTATAAATACATGAATTATTTTCATCTTGTGGCATGAAAATTACCATATTTCACTCGTGGCTACCGCCACTCATGAAATATTTATTTTCATACCACTCGATGAAAATAAATCATGTATTTATAGAAAAAACTTGAATATCCTCTATGTATTTTATGTTTTATAAATAAAACGAGAAAATGTACAATGTAATGGATAGATAACATATAAATGCATCTGAATATGAATTTGCCGAGAATGTGTGATGCAATGATATGAGGGTGTGTAAGACAATACTATGAGGGTTTGTGGTACAATGCTATGAGGGTGTGTTCGGTATAATGTCATGAGGGTGTGTGAGACAATGCTATGAGGACGTTCGGTATAATATTATGAGGGTGTGTGGGACAATGCAATGAGGGGTGTGGGACAATACTAAGAGAGTGTGGGACAATGCTATGAGGGTGTATGGGACAATGTTATGAAGATGTGTGGTTCCATGCTATGAGGATGTGTGGTACAGTACTATGAGGGTGTGTGGGACAATACTATGAGGATGTGTGGTTCAATGCTATAAGGATGTGTGGTACAGTACTATGAGGATGTGTGGTTCAATGCTATAAGGATGTGTAGTATAGTACTATGAGGGTGTGTGGGACAATGCTACGAGGATGGGCAGTACAATTTTCATCAGCTTAACATGTTCTGAAAAAAAATTTACAGCATCAAAAACTGCATGTTTTAGCTTTTCAAAAGAACGATTTATTTATGTATTTCTGAGTTTTATTGTGCTTTAACAATAAAACAATTTAACAACATTTTACCAAATATCATAGGATGATAGTTCTCCTTTTCAACTTTTGTAATGTCCCACTTTACTGCATAATCAAAATACTCTAAATAACTTGAGAGATTGCCTCTGTTACCTGAAAAAAGTGAATGTTTTATATAATTACGAAATAATGAGTCAGTTTTTACATGACTTTCAAAAGAAAACGTAAGTTAATATCAAAACGTATTTGTAAATTTATATTTCATGCATTATATCCCAGGGAAAGGGGAGTCAAGACCCCGCAACAACAACCAACCTTTCACGCAAAATGCAACGCTGTGGTATTATTGTAATTATCTAAAAAAAATACCTCCCATAAAACGTTTTCTCGTCAGCCAGTGTTGCTCTTTTTGAACTTTTTTTGATATTTGAGGATGTGCTCTTAGTCGTCTAAACAAATCTGTGGTTCCGCACTTTGGGGCTCCGACAAGGTAAAAATACGGAAGACAACGTACACGGGTTGTATTCATGACCCGACTGTGTTCCTCCCAACATGGATTCCTATAGTTTTTTAATAATGGCAGCTTCTCCTTAAAATGTAAACATTTTAGTGGTGATTATCAACGCCTGTAGGTTGTTTTCTTTTCTTCCGAAAAAAACAAACAAAACAAACAAAACAAAAAACCGACGGAGACTATTTTGAGAACAGGATTACATGTACAATTAAATATTTAAAAGAAGTAAAGAAAATAATATATTGAAGCTTTAACCTTTCGATATTCATATCGTATTTGTAATACTAAGAGCTCGAGAATTAACATCAATTAATATGTTATACATGTATCTAAAACAAACCGTTTTCTCTGGCGTATTTTCAGTTCGGTAAAATGGAGCTGTACTTAGTTCATCGTGTCCGTGCCGCTTTTTAGTTACACCAGTCTCAGCGGAAGTTGGATTATTAGCTACACTTGCAGACGTTTTTGTCTTTCCTGACATTCCATGTACGACTGAATTGTTGTTACTTCCGGTAACTGAAATCAGTTTCTGATACAATGAAATTGTTAAACAAAGTTCCAATCGGAACATCTTATAAACATCAATTAGCCAAGGAGATATTAAAGTCACAAATAATATTGAATACGGAATTTCAGCCTTACCTATGTTAAAAATCCATTTATAAAGAAATACATTGTATTTGCTTAGGTTTGTCTGAGTTGAGATAGTTTATACATTCATTATATCGTGTACAAAGTCCACTTGAATTACAGGCACGTTATGTTTCAGAAATAAATAATTGTTGTCTTTCTTCGCCATTTTCATAACGTAAAAGTAATGGTTTTTTCGTTAGATAATTTTCATGCTGGATGCCAGAAATAAAAAAAAGCTTTTGAGAAATAAAAATAAAAGCGTTTCTGGGGCTTAATGTGACTTAGTGGAATCATCATTACTAAATGATAACAAATATATATACCATACCGCTCAACCAAGTATATCACCATTCAAATTCATTTTCCTTCCTCGTGAAAATTTATTACTCGGTTTAAATAGCAAAACCAAAGATATAATATATCTTTAAGAGTTCATTGATAAACCATTTTGTCAAGTTAACAAGGTGATACAAGTCATATACGAAAAACATTCATTACCTAATAACATGTACCAAATTGTGTAAAAGAAAGTTTGTGGGGTTATTTTTTACATTTAAAAATTGATTTTTTTCAATCTGACTAAAGAAACAAAACGGGGAAGCAGGTGTGACATACGATAAGTTGTTATAGATCGGCTGCACATGTTATGCTGATACAAATCATGAAATAAGTTTTCCATAAATTCAATGTAATAAATGCAATGTTTCCGTGCTTAAACAGAAATGCTTCAAACATACCTGGAATACTGTAAACATTTTTTCCCAAACATTATTGATTTTGATTGATACACTCCCTTCTTCCAGAATTGTGAAAAAATGACTCACAAATGAAAAACTTTGCAACGCTTTTCACTCAAAATGGAACAAAACAGCACAATAATACTATTTTCAATTCACAATTGAAAATATATCCTACTTATTGTTTGCATATCTTTCTGTTATGTACCCCAAATAGTTTATATTAGAAATTCAATCTGTCCGTCCTTTTATCCGAAAAGAAGAAATAGATTACTGACAGTGTCCCTGTCATTATTCTTTATAAAAAGTCATCCGTTTCTAGGTATTCATACTCATTCCTGTTGAAATATAATTACCCAGACTCAGAAACTCGAAATTGAATTTCTAATAGAATGACGTTTCTCCACCTTACCTGAAACCTGCATGTATAATATTGACCCAGGTCAGATTTTCAAAGGAAATATGCCCCTTCATCATAAAATACTTACTTAGTTGTAACATATTTATGTTATGAAAGTTTGAAGGTTATTTGAACCACTTTAAGTCAAATCCGTTTCCTGGAAACAACCTTTACAGGTGAAATGAGAGCACACATAGCCGTGACCCAAGTAAGGCTCGAGCCCATGACACGATCCCTCGATTAAGAGACCGACAACTTTACCACCCTTAAAATATTGACTTGGATACATTTACAACACCCTCTCCTGTGTAATATTAAACCCTAATTTACAAAACAATATGACTTGAACTTGTTATTGTTGCAGACGAGAAGTAAATTTGCATTGGTGCTTTTTCATTAAATTCAACAAACAGCTGCCGCATTTGAGATAAAAAAAATCAGATTCGAAATTAAGTCATGATTTAACTTGAAAAAGAAATTTCCGACTACTATTCTTCAATTCATTTATGCCAATCTTCGTTATTTCAAGTATACAAGATGTATTATGAAAGTGGTTAATAGAGTCAACCAATTTTTTGAAATATATAGACCGCGGGAGGGGGACATAATTCCATTTCACTGTGTTCACTAGTTGTAATTCTGTACAATTCGTAAAAGAAGCGAGAAAAGTACTATGTTAAAACAACAACAACAACATTGAACGTTTCGCGTAATTCAATTCCACTTACCTTTAGCGAATTCAAAGCTGCGTGTGATAGGTAAAGTTAAAATCAAGCATACTGCAACAAGAACAAGGAATACCAGAATACGTTTATAAGCGTTCCCATTACTAATTTCAAACCCGTTGCCATTTTCATGCATATCACCTATGTTTCCAAGATTAGAATTTAAATTCACATAAATATATCGATTTCCAGATTAAAATAGGGAAACAACATGTGTGTCATAAAATATCTACTTGACAACAGAATTTGACAACAGATTTTATAGATTATTTCCACGATGACAGCTAGTGAACAGTTTTCAATGATTCTCGGAAAAACGACTGACCTGACCTGGAATAAATGCATTCCGTCAAATTAAACGCAGGCAACATGCATCTTGGTCACTGAAAAACTACCAATTATACTTTAGTCTTTATTTTAGTCTTTACTCTTATTTTTCATATGGCAGGGCTGGGTTTTTGTTTGCTTTTAGACAAACAGGGTGAACTTGAATTCTTACAAAAGTAAGGCACAATGTACGTAAGTCAGCTGTAAACACAATATCATATCGTTCACTGTTTCTTCCTCATCAACCAAGGACGTGCACTATAGATTTTCTTTTTAGTCAATGTCGGATTAAAGTTGGGTGACACTCGCCAAAAGATGGACATTTTTATACGTCATATTCCGACATTACATTTACTTTTAATCATAAGCCACCATTCATTTCTAACATTTTTCTACCACAATCTTACTAGTCTCTGACATCAAACTACACAACCTGTTTCTCTACCAGAGTAACTTGTTGTCGATTAAATTACATGTACTGCTAGCCGGTTTGCAAGTGACTGATAATGCAATACAATAGCGTAATCTTTGAAAACCAAAGGTTGAGACCATGCCATGTTCCCTCAGAAATCCCCCCTTTAATGTACCTGCACTGTACACATCCCCGGATACTTTCTGATCGGAAACACTGCATTGATATGGCAGTGTGAAGACAAGAAGATGCTCTCACTGCCCCGGGGAATGGCCTGGGTGACAATGATTACTGACTGGGGCATAATATGGTGCAGTCAGTGAATCAATTGGACAAATCATTAAATGTTGTAAATGATGGCATTCAGTGGCGAGAAACATCAATATGCAGCGCGCTAAAGTACATATGTATGTTTAAATGCACATTAGGTGTTTATAACTTGAAGAAAATAACACTAAATGTAAAATAATTTTATGAAGGTAGCAAAATGTACGAAAAGTAGTATTTTGACTACCATATACAATATATTAAATAATTATAATTGTACCTATTGTTAAAATGCGTAAACAAAAAGCGCAAAGATGGCTCAGCTATATGGCCAAAGAGCTGTTACGTACATATCACCAAAGAAGTTTTTAGATATACTTAATGGTTCTTTCCTAAATAAAAAAGGAAAAATCGGAACAGCATGTTCAGGAATGCATATAATTATAAATTTAGCCTACAACACCGTTTTTTTGGACAAAACAATTGATTATCCGTTATAGTTTTATTTCACAAATATTATCAAAGAACTGTAGATTGTGATATTATGAATATCTATTTTTATATTTATTTATTTTTCCCAAAACAAGGTAAAATCGTCATTTTTTTTATTTCATCGAATGTGTCATTTAATTTGAATTTTATTTCTCTTTACTACATGCAAAGTGCTTCACTAACTAAGTTAACAGTTTTGGCATACTGTGATAATATATTGATTTGATAATATCACGCCTTTTTAGTCCATGACTGATCATAAGCCTATGTACATTAATTGTCGTTCGAACAAGTTATATACACTAATAACCTGATTTTGTATATTTGGTATGATTTTTACGTTTCCATGTTAAATGACACAAGAGGTAATGATTTTATTCAAGTGAACCAGGAGCCTGAGGAGTTAATAACAATTTGCCAATCCACCAGCAATAACTGATGGACATGGTACTTATGTATTGAACTATAATATTGCATTGCATGCAAAATTCTATAATTATGGTTATTAATGATTAAAAGATATCACACTGGTTAAAACCCATCTACCCCTTTTAGAATGAATATTAGCCCAAGGATTTACAACGGCCGTGTTATATTTCAATCTCTCATAAATTAGGGACCGTGTGTTCGTATTTCATGCAGAACATTTTTGCACTTCCTTCATCACAGTTGCTGTACTGATCAAGGGAAGTAATCGCTACGAGAAGTGTAGTGTAAAGCAACGGTTACTTTCCCTTGACTTTAGAAATGTTGAATGGTACCTAAACTATAACTATTGGCTTTTAAGCGCGGGAAGATATTTATTTGATGTGTATAGATCAATTTGTTTGTATACACCATATGAAGCATATAGTCATTCTAAACATGAGAATATTTCTTAAAACCATATTCTAATGAACTTCAACAAAAATGTATGCTTCCTCTGTGCCATGGGAGTCTTGATGGGCATGCCGGACTCCGAACAGTTCCCTCTCCAACATACAGGCTCATACATGTGAACTCTCCCACTTTTAGTGAAAGACTCCCACTTTCTGCAGCCATATTTTCAAAGATTTTTCTTAAAATAAGGGGTATTTTCACAAATTCAAGAAATCTCCCTCCTTTTTATGTCAGAAATTTCTTCTTTGCCTATAGCAAATTCTAAAATCTCCCTCTTTTTGAAGAAAAATCTCCCACTTGATCATCAAAAAAAGTTCACATTTATGCAGGCTATCTTGCCTTACTCGCCGAAGAATAAAGTTCGCAAGGACAATGCTTGACCATATGTTATGCTTGTTATATCATTTTAAAGACATTTAAAAAAATTTAAATTTGATCAAAATTCAAAAATTGACCATTTCTCAACGACTTTTTTTGGCAGGGCAAATTCTCAAGTTGAAAATTGACCCAGGTTCAGTTCTCAACATTTAAAAATGACCCATGTGTCAATTTTAAAAGGGGTTAAAATTTAATGCTACATCGGCGCTAAGCGTAAAATGCCTGTTCAAAACGAATACCTACTTAACCCTTTCACTGCCATTGGGAGGCTTATGCCGTCCCTGTTATTTTCGGCGTATTTGCCATATGGACGGCTTTAGCCGTTTCTATAATAATAATAGTAATAATAATAAATTAATAATAATAATTATAATAAAAATAATAATAAATATAAAGAAAATTATACCATCGACAATAATTATTATTATACTCACAGATTTGGAAACATATATAATTATTATAATACTAATAATAACAAATAATAATAATTATATTAATTAATAATATAGTAATTTCTTAGAAAACCCTCTGGCAAATAGGTGATCAATAAAACAATAACCCTCTGGCAGCGAAAGGGTTAAAAACCTTAATTGTAGCTTAATTAAACATTTATATTATTCGATTTGGGAAATTAAGTTTATTTTTAAATACAATACTTTTTGTAAATACAAATACATATATTTTAATTAACTATACCGACCTTCAGTAAGATATAAGTGGATAGCTTCATCACATGAAAGAATCTAGTTCTTACTTCCATAAGTTTATATATGTCGCTTTTATTTTGACGTTGTGCGACAGTAACAGTACTGTCGTGGAAGTTTCTTTAGCTAGAAAGAATCAAAAGTTGCTAGATCTATTCATTTCCAAAGAGGTGAGGGGCAAGTGGTTTGAAGTCCGATTCCTCGCAGGGACGATATACATAATATAAATATACATAATAAATACTTATGTAAAAATAACATAATAGTGATGATGCAATATATCAAAGACATTTAAAATTTGCATCTGACATCTGGATTATACAGATCTAAAAACTAATTTAAGTATTTATCATGCTAATATTTAATAACTTGGAAACTGTGCGTGTGGAAATTGCTGCAATTCGTTGTTTCTAGTTCACACTTTAACCTCAACTTTTTGCGTTCTCGTAGAACCCTATAGATTGGAAACACATGAAGAAAGGTAACACAAAAGAAATTACACCGTAGGGGAACTTTCCAGAAGATTCCAGCAGCGCGTGAACATCTTGTTATCGCCAAATATGGTAGCACCCCACTGTGCGCCTCACTGGAGTTACTTCCCTTTATTTATTGATCATTACGATAATACCTGCGTAAATAGATGACATCTAAACATATGTGGCTTTTATTTTAGGTTTATCACATTCATCTAGTCATTCTCTCGGAAAGAGATATTTTGATATATTAACAATTCTTATACTTTTAATACAAATTCAAATAAATTCAAAGTGAAAGTAGAAGCTCTTCAAAGGAGGATTTCGTTACAGTCATTCTGTTTCTTCCGGTTGTCAAAAGCGTGAGGATTTACACATTTTAAAGGTAAATAAAACATACAAGTTTAATATGGACATGTGAAAAGAATATAAGCACATATCTTACAATGATTGCTTATTTTTGAAAATTTTAGAAAAGGCTGATCAAAGCAGATCTGACAAAATGTTTCTCGTACTTTATGCATTTCGTACCCACAGGGATGACAGTGTTGACATAGGGGTCTAATCCAGGAGATTGCCGACATTTAAAGATTTAAACAATAATTTTATTCATTATCTACTTTAATATAAGTTTGCAAATATTTATATGGTAAGACGGACGAAACACTCAAAATAATTACTGAAATTTGTATAAATTTTATTTGGCATGGATAGCATAATTATGAATTAAGCGCCTGAATTAAGTACTGTAAATGTGTAATGATTTTTCATCTGAGGGACTTGTTAATTTAATTTATTCTATGTTCATTTTTTTTTAATTTTAGTAAATAGGGTTTAGTACTACATTCAAATTATAACCTTGCATTACTTGAAAAAAAGTATTATAAATTTTCATTATCCATGTGGCATGTCTGCAGCTGGACTGGTCATTACTAGTTTCAGTGTAGCTATTGTCTTATTGATGTATTAATATAGTTCATAATTGTATAGTTTATAATTGTATAGTTTATAATTATATAGTTTATAATTGTATAGTTTGTAATTTGCAGATGAGTGTTACTGAATTGAAAGAAGATGGAAATGCCAAGTTTAAAGCAGGGAATTATGAAGAGGCACTCTCGGTATACACAGATGCCCTCCACTTTGGGGATATAAAAGACACTGACAAAGCTGTCATTTATAAAAACCGTTCCATGTGTAACCTGAAGCTTGAGAAATATAAAGAAGCAATTGATGATGCATCTGAATGTAAGTTATTAGACATGTTTCTTATACATGTATACAGTAAACAGGGCCCTGTTTGTGTTACCATGGTTATTCTATATCACAGGGAACACATGTTTAGCAGAATAATATAATAAAACTTATGCTCTAATTGTAGAAAATATTTTAGGATTGCGATACATATTAAAGTATTTGAAAATCAATGGAACATGAATTGAAGTTGGAAGACCTTAAGTCTAAGTCCTAACAACCCTCGTACCTGTACCCATTAGGTCATTGCTGACCAAGATTAGCCAGCACATCATTGTTGTCTGATCATTATCTTAAACTGTTTGCTGTTCAATTAGTGCTTGTTTTGAAATTTTCCCTAAAATGATACATGTATATGTTTTTTATTCTTACAGCTCTAGAAATTTGCCCGAATGATCCAAAGGCTCTGTATAGAAGATGTTTAGCTTACGAGAAATTGGGGCATCTAGAAGAGGCATACAAAGATGCAGCTTTCATGTTAAAAATAGACCCGAAAAATGATGCAATCAAACCAGTCCTGAAGAGGCTTACACCTGTAATGAAAGAAAGGGTATGTGAGAATATTTTATCAATTAAAGATAAAAGAATTCCAATTTTTGATAAAACATTGTTTAAAAATAATATTACTACATCATTGAGGGTGTACAATAGTCATAGGAGACTGTTTGACATTGACTGAATAGATAATCAAATGAAACTAGTTCTGTAAAGTTTATCTCAAAAATATTGTCAGTAATTTTAATAAAAATAAATAATTATCTTTATGTTTTAGGCTAAGATGCAATTAAGCCAGCACAGAGAACAAAGTAACACAAATGTTTGATGTATTGTTTGATTCAATGATTATCTTTTATGTTTTAGGCTAAGATGCAAGCCAGCACAGAGAACAAAGTAACACAAATGTTTGATGTATTGTTTGATGTCAATGCTGATAATGAAAAGAGATTGCAGGTAACTTTTCTGTGAATGAAATTTATACTTTTTCTGAACAGTGGAATGGAGTAACTCTTTGATAAAGTCAATGGAATGACATTATTGTTAGGGCATGTGAGTAAGCTTACATCTGAAGTTAGATATAAGTATATTTTCCTGCTGGGAGGTCCATGGCTAAGTGGTTAAGTTTTTTTTTTTAATTTTAACCCCTCACTGCTATATGTTCGATTCCCATCAGGTAGATTGGAGTTTTTACACCTGAGACCTCCCACCAATAAAGCTGGAAAATTGCCATATGACCGTTGCAGTACTGATGTGACCTAAAACCAAACAAACAAAAATTAACCCCCCAAAAAAATCCTAACATTTTCCAGCACAGGTGCATATTCCAGTCTGGTATGTAAGTAACAGTGTTTGACAAAAGCCCTCACATCCAAAAATGACAAGGGGACAAGATCCCTCCAGTGATTCAAAACATATAAATCTTAAAACCAGTCATAAATGAAGTGAATGCTGGCCAATATGCTTTATTTTCAGTGTGGAGGGTAAACAAACCAAACACACATATGGAAGGAATATATGTGATCTCGATGTAAAACAAATATATATACATTCATGATTGAAGTGCATTGGAAAAAAAGATGGTTAACTTATATATTTACAATTTTATATTTTCACGGGATGACTTTTGTCTGTATCACATAAAGAACAGGCCCTGATTTGACCCTTTTATAGCCTTTACTGTTAGAAATGTTTCAAGTTATTTGAAACGGAAATTTCAGTCAGTTCTCAAAATGCAGATTTAAACCCTAGTCTTGCTGTTTGTACCTATTATCATGCATTTTTTACTTATATTCTGTTATTTTACTACTTATTTGTTTTGTGCAGTGGTGTTACACTGTTTGTGTACAATGGTGTCACATTGTTTGTGTACAATGGTGTCACACTGTTTGTGTACAATGGTGTCACACAGTTTTTGTACAGTGGTGTATCATTGTTTGTGTTCAATGTTACATTGTTTGTGTACAATGGTGTTACACTGTTTGTGTACAATGGTGTTACATTGTTTGTGTACAATGGTGTCACACTGTTTGTGTACAATGGTGTCACACAGTTTTTGTACAGTGGTGTTACATTGTTTGTGTTCAATGTTACATTGTTTGTGTACAATGGTGTTACACTGTTTGTGTACAATGGTGTCAAACTGTTTGTGTACAATGGTGTTACACAGTTTGTGTACAATGGTGTCACACAGTTTGTGTACAATGGTGTTACACAGTTTGTGTACAATGGTGTCACACAGTTTGTGTACAATGGTGTTACACTGTTTGTGTACAATGGTGTTACACTGTTTGTGTACAATGGTGTTGCACTATTTGTGTACAATGGTGTTACACTGTTTGTGTACAATGGTGTTGCATTATTTGTGTACAATGGTGTTACACTGTTTGTGTACAATGGTGTTACATTGTTTGTGTACAATGGTGTTACACTGTTGTGTACAATGGTGTTACATTGTTTGTGTACAATGGTGTTACATTGTTTGTGTACAATGGTGTTACACAGTTTGTGTACAATGGTGTTACACTGTGTGTGTACAATGGTGTTACATTGTTTGTGTACAATGATGTTACATTGTTTGTGTACAATGGTGTTACACTGTTTGTGTACAATGGTGTTACACAGTTTGTGTACAATGGTGTTGCATTGTTTGTGTACAATGATGTTACATTTTTTGTGTACAATGGTGTTACACTGTGTGTGTACAATGGTGTTTTACAGATTGTGTACAATGATGTTACACTGTTTTTAGGATCTTAGTGTTTTAGTTGTGCAAATTTGAAACAAAGAAAACTGAAAAACAATTTCTTTTTTTCCAGGCTGGAAATAATTTAGTTGTTCTTGCACGAGAGAGTGGAGGAGGTGAGATTATCGTGCGACATGACGGAATAAAAAGACTGAAAGAGTTTCTCATGAATGAGAAGAACCCAGATTTCCTGCAAGCTGGCATCCGAGCATTATCATGTCTAACAAATGAGAACAGACCAAGGGTATGTTGGATCATTATCACACATAATTTCTATAAAATTGAAGGTTTATTTTTTTGCTTCTTAATAAGAAAAACTTTGAGCTATTGCTACAGTCAGGTTGTTGTTGTTGCCATCCAGAAACTGTACTGTTAGCCTTTGGACAAGACTTTTCAGTAGACTAGACTGAACTTGATATTGGCTCTTGAATGACCCTGGCCTTCAAGGCCAAATAGGTCATGGCCAAGTTCTTCGTACTTGGATATATCAATCTGTTGCACAAGACCTTTGAGTAAATCAAATTATCAATGACCATGACTTTGAAGGTCAAATTATGATTTTTTTTTGTGCTATGATTGGCTATAACTTTGTTAGTTGTGAATGGATTGTCTTCATAATTGAGCACAACTCAGTAACCTTACGGACAAAAGAACACTTATGACAAAACTCACATTGATGATAAATTCAAACATGATTTTGACATTTGTATGACCTTGACTGTGAAGGTCAAATATGAAATTAGAATTTGTTCAAAACCATAATGTTTTCTATGGCAATATTCTTTCTTTGATGTTTTTGAAGTTATAAGTCAGAAAAAGTTAAGTGTTGTCCCTGCCTTGCGGTGGCTCTATTTATTATCAATGATATTTTTGGTCAATCACCATTATTATAGCCAATCTTATGAAATATATTACTAATTCAACACAACTTGACAAGAAACTTTACAGCCATTGTTTTAGTAAGCTTATAGCTTCCAACATAATCAAACTATAATAGATTAGTATCAACTAAAACCAACTGGTCAGTTTTGTGTTACAAACAGGCTGCTGTGTGATATTTCATTGTTGCAGCCTGTGATTGTTTTCACCATTTTTGCAAAAACCCCTGCATTCTAAATTGAGAAAATTTAGATTGCTAACCATATGAAAATTTAAAAGTTTTAAAACACACTTTTTTTCTAAACATTCACTTTTTTTTAGATGAAAGTCCAATGAATAAGTGAATACTTTTCATAAATAGTCGAGTATTCAAGTTGATATGTATTGGGAAATCTGTGCAATTTTTGGAATTTTCAAAAGGAATTAAGTAATCAGTTTTGTCATTTTAGAAATAACCTACCTGTATATTTGCACTCTATTTTATGAAAAGAAAATTAGTTGCAGCACAAGTTTTAGCACAGATTATAGTGTTTAAGTATGGTGGAATTTTATTAGTATTGTTATCTATGAATGATTTTTTCTAACAGAGTGAAATGGTGTATCATGAAATTGGTGTGGTTAGATTAGGTCAGTTAATGGCGATGCCTGTTGATGGATTGTCAACATCAGTGGCCCTACTTCTCCACCATATGATGCTGTCTATCACAGAATATAGCGTCTTCAAGGGTAAAATGGATGCCTATGATGATAAAAGGCGTCAGGGTGATCCTTGTATACGACCCAAATGGGAGATTGGTAAGTTTTTCCTTGCAAAACGTTTTTAGGATATTTTAGTTATAAACGTTAATTAACATTTGAAAGCTTTATGTAAAGTTAAAAACTTTGCGTAAAACTCACTTAGTTTTTATTTAAATTTCATTCTTATTATACCCCCGCACAACAAAGTTGTAAGGGGGGCCCCGCACAACAAAGTTGTAAGGGGGGTATACTGGAATCAGCTTGTCCGTCCGTCCGTCCGTCCAACGGTTTTTTCTTGTCCGCCCAATAACTTAAGATTCCTTTGACCCTTAGTCTTCATATTTGGCATGGAGGTTAGTCATGATTAGTAGATGACCCCTATTGATTTTGAGGTCACTAGGTCAAAGTCACAGGGGCCTTGACTTCAAAAAGCTTGTCCGCCCAATAACTTAAGGTTCCTTTGACCCTAAGTCTTCATATTTGGCATGGAGGTTAGTCATGATTAGTAGATGACCCCTATTGATTTTGAGGTCAAAGGTCAACGTCACACGGGCCTTGACTTCAAAAAGCTTGTCCACCCAATAACTTAAGATTCCTTTGACCTACAGTCTTCATATTTGGCATGGAGGTTAGTCATGATTAGTAGATGACCCCTATTGACTTTGAGGTCACCAGGTCAAAGGTCAAGGTCACAGGGGCCTTGGCTTCAAAAAGCTTTTCCGCCCTATAACTTAAGATTCCTTTGACCCAGAGTCTTCATATTTGGCATGGAGGTTAGTCATAATTAGTAGATGACCCCTATTGATTTTGAGGTCACCAGGTCAAAGGTCAAGGTCACAGGGGCCTTGACTTCAAAAGCTTGTCCGCCCAATAACTTAAGATTCCTTTGATCTACAGTCTTCATATTTGGAATGGAGGTTAGTCATGATTAGTAGATGACCCCTATTGATTTTGAGGTCACCAGGTCAAAGGTCACAGGGACTTTGACTTCAAAAAGTTTGTCTGCCCAATAACTTTAGATTCCTTTGACCCACAGTCTTCATAATTGGCATGGATGTTGATCATGATTAGTAGATGACCCCTTTTGATTTTGAGGTCACTGGATCAAAGGTCAAGGTCATAGGGACTTTGACTTCAAAAAGTTTGTCCACCCATTAACTTAAGATTCCTTTGACCCACAGTCTTCATATTTGGCATGGATGTTGATCATGACTATAAGGTGACCCCTATTGATTTTGAGGTCACTGGGTCAAAGGTCAAGGTCACAGGGACCTTGACAAAAAAAAGCTTTTCTTCTCAATTGCTAAAGAATGTCCAGTCCGCAATGTATTGATTTTGACATTTTCACATTTGAAGCATGTAGAATACATAACTTAGCAATGCACTGGCTTAGTAACCTCAGATTTGGCAGGGAGGTTGTCCTTGAGCTCTAAATGGCCACTGTTGATTCTGACAAAGTGGTATGTGGGGGTATTCACGCCATGATAGTGGCAGTTCTAGTTATTTTTATTTTATATGAAATGTACTGCTTCTATATGAATTATTCTCGAATTTTTTTTTCAAATTAACCCCTTGTTATGTGCTCCACCTTAATCCTCATGTTATCCATTGTTCAATGTGAGTTAATCACTAGGTGAATTATTATGTATTTGAAATACTCTCTATATTCTCTATTTGAATTATTTTCTATTTCTGTTTTCCTCTATTTGAATTATTTTCTATTTCTGTTTTCCTCTATTTGAATTATTTTCTATTTCTGTTTTCCTCTATTTGAATTATTTTCTTTCAATGGAATTCTATTTCATTTACATGCTATTTGAAGTATTTCCTGTTTCAATTATTCTTTATTTCATTTATTCCCTAATGAATCTATTTAATTTATCCCCTATGTCAGTTATTCCATGTGTCAATTATTCCCTATTTCAATTACTGTATTCCTAGAAAAGATTTCGCGCGTTTTAAGTTAGCGCTTTTCGCGGTAGGCATAATTCAGCTAATCTTTATAGCCGTGAATATGTCACTTATAACAAATCTGCGAACATTTCTAGCTTCAACCAAATATAACATAAACGTGCAGAATATTTATTATAATCTACTTACAAAAAAAACATATAAACACAGGAGCTATAGAAATGTGTAAAGAATTATTTATGTATATATTTGACACTAGTTTGCACACATAGTGAGAAAGGTAAGGAAATATGAAAGTGTTCACGGAACAACCGTCCGTGTTCGACTAGTCAATAGATGAAAAGGTATCGAGTAACGTTGCGCTTTAGGCGCGACTTGTCAAAAAAAAGAAAGAATTAAAAGTACTCAACAGGCAAAGTCATGCATCCAAAACGTAGCCTTCAAAAACTGTAATTTAGGTCGTACCAAAAACTGTAATTTAGGTCGTACCAAAAACTGTAATTTAGGTCGTACCAAAAACTGTAATTTAGGTCTTACCAAAAACTGTAATTTAGGTCATAGCGACTTAATATTCGCGGAATTCGCGGTTACTACAAATCCGCAAAAGTTTGTCTCCGCGAAAATGCCGACGTTGTGAAAAACGCGAAATATTGTATCCGCAAACATTTCTAGAAATACTGTATTATCTGTGCTAGTTAAATCCATTTACTAAGCTAAATGTTATTTATTTTATTGATAGATGAGTATCAGCAGAAGTTTTTGGATGAAGTTTTCCATGGCCTTATCAAAATGTTGCAGCATATAAAGGTATCAGCATGCGGCAGGGATGCTTCAATGGAACTTATGTTAAAAACTGTGACCAGAAAAACGGGTGTTTGGTGGACGAGAAGATTTATAGAATCTAATGGTCAGTTTTATTAGAAGATAAACAACTGATTGTTACTGTTAATTGCTTGATTTTTCAAGTACCGCCTCCGTGGTCGAGGGGTTAGAGTCGATGACTTCTAATCCAGTTACCTCTCTGGCATGGGTTCGATCCCCGGGAGATGCTTTGGTAGTTTAGCGAGGAGGAAGGTAGTCTAGTACTGGTGTAACTCTCCAGGAACGATGGTTAGGAAACTACCCGCCTATATGACTGAAATACTGTTAGAAAAAGGCGTAAAATGAAAACAAACAAACAAACAAAATCTTCGTTCAAAGCACTTGCCTCTCATTGCTATAGATTCTTTCATGTGATGAGGTTATCCAGCTAGCATCATGTTGCTGGTTCTACTCTGGGTGCCCACTCCTGTCTGAAATAATACATGGAGGGATACCTGGAAAGTCTCCATATGATCTTTACAGTGTTGTTACATTATAAACCCCATTAGAAAAAATCCATATAAAACTGAAGTTGTGAATGTGCACTATATGAATTGAGTAGAGGAAAAGCGAAGTAAATTTTATGTTTTGATAATCTGAAATTGTCCAGAATTATGTTATAGTGGCGATATATATGTTATAGTGGTTTTGTATAAATATTCTGCATTCTTGGACATATAAGGTGTTACCTGTTGTGGTTTCAAGTGTATAAACTGAAAACCACGAATGCCATGTCTACACACATATTTATAGAATTCAACTAAAAAAGTATGACTGTGTATGATGGCTAGTTAAAGTTTACTTTCTCATTTACTAGATATAAAATGTTATTGTCTTTTTGCTATCATACTAATGGTTAGTATAATGTCTGATAAATGTTTTTGTTATGTGATTACAGGTGGTGTTGAAGGATTACTCCTGATAGCAGGATCAGTAAAGCAACATGAATCTCTACCAGTAACAGATCAATCCAGGATGCATGCATCATTACTACTCACAAAAATATGGGAGGATCTGATTGGAGACAAGGAAAACGATATATTTAAAGAGAAAGTGAACGGGTTTTTCCAGTATGTAATTGTAAATCATATAAACAGAACATATTAAAGCTCTTTTTAGTTAAAGTAATATAATAGGTTTTCAATTGTGGACACAGCAGGTCAATTAAAGTCTGTGTCAAGAAAATTCAATGATTGCCATTAATATGCCTGTGGTGTTTAAGATACAAATTTATTAAATATAGACATAGTTACCATTTTGGCCTAAAGATTTTTATAAGACTCCAAAGTTAAGAGTTGAATTATTTTGTATAAGGAGAAAGATGAATATTTCTGTTTAGAAACTGATTTTATTGAAGGGTTTGATGTCTATCTGATTTGTTGCCTTGTTACTTCAGGGAATTATTTTCAACAGAAGATTTGGACTCGAAGGTGGAGGCTGTAAGAGCCATCTCTATGCTACTGCAGGGACCATTTGAGATCGGCAATATGATCCTCGGATTTGAGGGGGTTAATGGTATCATGTTAGCTTTAGCGCAGAGTGACCGTGCAATTCATCAGGTCAGAACAGATTTTCAAATGCTTAAAAAAATCAATATATGAATCATTCTAAAATGCAAGCTACTCATTGGTAAATTTTATTTGAATCTGACCAATTGGAGAGGATATCATACTGGTTAATCAGTCTGTTAAGATTGTTGTTAAGGTTAATCAATTAAATAAGTGTTTATCTGTGTTTTTCATTTAGACCTTTAACAATACATATTTTAAGAATGCTGTATTTACAAAGTTAAAACTGTGTTTAATTATGTTTTAATAATTGTGGATTTAAAGCATGTTAGATTGTTAATGGGCCTTTAATTAAATGTTTGTTTATTTTTCAGCAAATAGCAGTGGAAGCTATTGTGCACTCAGCATCAAAGAAAGACCGATGTACCGGACTTCTCACAGAAGCTGTTCCGGTTTTGAAGCATTTATATCATAATGGAAATAATGATAACATCAAAGTTCGAGCATTAGTGGTATGTATTTGTCAATTGTTTGTATAAAGATATTTTACCGTTGTTCCAGAAACTCTAGGATGTTTCTCACTATTCTTTTTTCAAATAGACTGTGTTATCAAGTGGAATATAACACCATGCTGACTAAGAAGAAGAATGTATACCTGCGATATAACATCAGAATATCTGGTATTTTTACAGGGTCTGTGTAAACTGGGATCATTTCAAGGATCAGATGCAACCACACGACCTATGGCAGAAGGTTCCACTATAACATTAGCTAAAGCTTGTAGAAAGTAAGTTGATTATTTATGCTGAATCTGCTAAATTTTCATAATGGACTCATCCAGTTTGACTACAATATTAGCTTCTGGCATGCAAGTTGTTCCTGTACAAAAGCAGTACCCATATTTTTTCGTTAAACGCTTGATTTTTACTTGCATTCTTTAAAAATTTATATTACATCACAAGATGTGTGAACCAGACAAAATCTAAGTGTCAGTTCAGCAGTAGATATAAAAAGTTTTCATTTAAATCAATTTCACCTCGTCCTGTATGTTGTCAAAACGTGACCTTGTAAATATTTAGGGATTCTGTTGTTGCACACATGCACATAAATCCTTGCCTATGAGGCCTGTAAAATGGTTTTTCAAATCACTAGCTGTATACAGATAAGTGAGACATACAACAAAAACTTGTTTAAATATCAGAATTTTGCCTTATATTACCATATAAAATAAATGTATGGCTTTAATGAGTAAAATATCATGCATACATGTACTAGTACTTCATTGCATGTAAATACAATGTACATTGGGAAAACGGTAATAGTACCATCCTGTATATCTATTTTCCTCTGCGAAAACGGTGTCTTCAATGATACATCTATAGACCATTTCCTTATTTTCTAGATTTTTAACTAACCCAGCTGGAGATATTCAGATGAAACAATGGGCGACAGAAGGTCTTGCATATCTTACACTGGATGCTGACGTTAAAGAAGAAGTTGTCAATGATCCTAAGGCGCTAGCAGCTATTATACAGGCTGCCAAGGTTATAAACTGTTTTATTCTTGCACATCAGACAGGATTTTTTACTGCTTTTACCAGTGCTAGTAAAAAAACAACATTTTTTCACCCCCTGTGTAAGACAAGTGCCTTTTGTGAAATGATGTTATTTAAACTGCCTTTTATGAATGAATTGCTTGCATAAACTTGGCAATGCTGCTACTTTGAAAATATACTGTTTGAATTCATTGACTTAAGTAAAAAAAAAATCCATTTAAAATAACTTTCTTTTTTTTTTACAGAATCCAAGCCAGAGTTTGGTATATGCTGCAGCAACATTGTTTGTTAATCTGACTAACAGTTTTGACAAGCAAGAAATGTCCCCTGAGATGGTTGAACTTGCCAAATATGCCAAACAACATGTACCAGAAGAACATGCCAAGGTAATTACATCTTTTTGTTGCACATCATGCACATGGGTGAATTCCAAATTTAAGATTTTCAACTTAAACCCTGCTAGAATCAAAAGTGATTAGCATTTACAACAAGTATTGAGCCCTGGCCAGCCTGCTCTATACTAGTGGCTGGCTAAATATTCATCTTGATACCCCTAAAATAAATATTGAACTGTTTCAAAAATTGAAACTGGATTAGTCCATTTAAGAGATTAAGAATATATCAAGGTTTAATGTAAATAAACATGTACAGCCTATTCCTTAAGAAGAAATAATGTTTAATGAATGTTTTTCTAGATTTTACTTGTTTTCTAGGATAAAGAGGAGTTTGTTACAGAAAGGATACGTAAATTAGTGGAGGCAGGCATGATAGGATGTTTGTTATCATTGTTTAATACAGAAAGTAACAACACGAGGGAACAAGTCTCAAGGTAAAATACCTTTCTTGCTAATTAGATGTCATAGCATTTCAAACATTTGTTTTAACTTTATATAAGTGGTTCTTTTTCTTTTAATGTGGCTCTTTATTAAGGCTGAGGCTAGTATCCAAGTGAAAAAGGTATGTGTTATTAAAACATGAAATTTGTAAGTGTTTGCTAAATGAAACAGTTTTTGCTATGAAAGAAAACAATGTGAAAATTCTCCCTACAATACAGGCAATGTTCACCTTATGGATAAATATATTCAAATTAAATGTTTTCACAATAATGATGTGCAGTGCCTATTGAGTAACCAGAAATCACAGTATTAGCAAAATGAAAAAAAATTAAGAAAAAGGCAAATGCTATATTACAGTATGGGAAAAAGTTACTTGTCATGTAAAAGTGAAAAAAATAGATAAGAGTTAAAAAAATTTGGTTGTTACTTTTTCTGTCATAAACATTGATATAACTGTCCCCACATGTGACAAAATAAAGAAACATCTACATACATGTGTTTTTCAATGATCAAGTGGGAGATTTTTTTTTCAAAAAAGAGGGAGGTTTTAGAATTTGAAATAAACAAAGAAGGAAGTTCTGACATCAAAAATAGGGATATTTCTTTAATTTGTGAAAATACCCATTTTAAGAAAATCCTTGAAAATATGGCTGCAGAAAGTGGGAGTCTTCCACTAAAAGTGGGAGAGTTAACATGTATGCATTTAATCACAAAAGAATAATTGGGCAAAAAATTCCAAACTCTGATCTAAAAATGATCCCTGAAATATTTTTAAATTTTCCATAAAAATGATGACTGGACAATGGTTTTGTTCAGTTTAAATTATTAACAAGTCCATTAAGATATTTAGCGTGGGGTGGATTTATTAGTCCCCTACCGGTTTAACCGGAGGGGACTTTAGGTTTACCCTCCGTCCGTCTGTCCGTCCATCCGTCTGTCCGTCCGTCAGTCTGTCTGTCAGTCCGTTAGTCCGTCCGTCCACAGAACTGGATCCCGCGATAACGCAAAAAGTTCTGAAAATATTTTTATGAAACTTGATATATGGATAGATGGCAGTATGGAGATTATGCACGTCTTTTTTTTTTCTTCCTATGTTGAAAATTCTGGTTGCTATGGCAACAAATAGTCTGAAAATATGGCAAATTTTACACATTAATTGGATCCGGTGATAACTCAAAAAGTACTGAAAATATTTTTATGAAACTTGAAATATGGGTAGATGGCAGTGTGGAGATTATGCACATCTTTTCCTTTTCTTCCTATGTTGAAAATTCTGGTTGCTATGGTAACAAATAGCCTGAATTTCAAGATTTCTGATTTAAATTTTACAGCTTTTTCTCTATAAGTTCTTTATTTCTTAAGGTGTTTACTTCAAACGTTAAATATAAGTTTCTGGTCATCAACCACATCATATGTGACAAGGTTTACAACTCTAGCACAAAAATTATCAATATTACCTCCCTTTAACTTAGAATTTTTATGAAAAAAAAATTGTTTCTTTTTTTAAATAACTTCTTTATTTCCTAATGTATCTACTTCAAACTTCATATGTATGTTTCTTTTTATCACTCAACATTTTTGAGAAGGTTCAAATACTCTAGCAAGACTATTTCCAGAATTATGTCCACCTTGAACTTAGATTTTTTTCGAGAAATTTGTATTTTTCACTCCAACTTCTTCATTCCTTATAGGATTTACTTTAAAATCCCACATAGTAATAATATGACAAGGTTGTATAAACATAATTTCCTTACTAGGTAGGGAAACTAAACACATTACTGTGATATAGACATTAGACAAACTTAGAACTCAAAAGATTTAAGTTCATTCATGTCATTCGTTCACTGGTAAAATTGAATGGCCAATGGCCCATCAGAATGTTGCTGGGGTTCTAACCGGTAGGGGACTTATGGATTGCTTGCAATACTATGATAATTGCTTGTTACTATAGCTATATGGATGAATTTACAGATTTTATGTATGTATTTGTTCAGGGTATAAATTACATTTATCATTTTCCAGGGTATTTATAACAGTTGCCAATAATGAAGCATACAGGGGTCAGATAGTACAAGCTGGTGGTGTCAAGGTAGGCTGCTTACATATTATTACAAAACTGTTGTTACTGATACCTGTTTATTTGTCAACCTCCACAATGAAGTTATGGGTACAAAGTTATTCAAACAAATCACTTTATTATTAGAAAATGCTGTGCTGATGTTTTGTACATCTGTATCCTGCAGATTAAGGAGTTTTAACTCAATTACTAAGGGCTGAATGTAGTTTACAGATTATCAGTGTAAAGCTGGAAATTGGCTTGTGTAAAATGTCTGATATCTGTGTAACTAACAAAAATAAAAGTATTCTATTTTCATTTAAGTTAGTGAAGTTATTACAAATTTATTATGAGTATCTTTTAAATCCTAGCCTGATTGATGTGACTGAATCTACTGTTGCTACATGCTATCTAATCATTGTCTGTACTGTTCAATATTTGATCAGTACTCATGTTGAAAATCGCCCTAAAATGATATATGGTCTTGTTGAAAAATGATCCATTTAAGATATTTAGCGTGATAAGGGTTAAATGTTTTTGTTAAATAGGTTGTTACAAGTTATAATAATCTTTCTTTGACAAAATAGTACTAGTGCCATGACAAAATGTATTATAGCCAACTTAAGAGATTAAGTTGCCTCTTAATGATTCGGTGAAATGCCAAAAGTGTTTCATTATAATTTGTTGTCTGGCATGGAATAGTTTTATATAAACTTGTATATTTAGCTAACATTTACTAGGATAACATTGAGGTCACCAAAGCATTATTAGTAGTTTTTAGCTCACCTGTCACAAAGTGACAGGGTGAGCTTTTATGATCGCTTTGTCCGGCGTCCGTCGTCCGTAAACTTTTACTTTAAATGACATCTCCTCATAAACCACTAAGCCAATTTCATCCAAACTTCACAGGAATGTTCCTTTGGTGGTCACCTTTGAAATTGTTCAAAGAATTTAATTCCATGCAGAACTCTGGTTGCCATGGCAACCAAAAGAAAAAACTTAAAATATCTTCTTCTAAAAAACCCAAAGAGCTAGAGCTTAGATTTTTGGCATGAAACATCTTCTGGTGAGTGTTTACCAAGTTTGTTCAAATAAAAGCCCTTGGGTCAAAATTGGCCCCGCCCCAGGGGGTCATTGATTTTCCCTATATGCATATAGTAAAAACTTAAAAAAATCTTCTTTTAAAGAACCAAAAGAGCTAGAGCTAAGATATTTAGCATGAAACATCTTCTAATGGATGTCTACCAAGTTTATTCAAATAAAACACTGGGGTCAAAATTGGCCCCGTCCCAGGGGGTCATTGATTTTCCATTTATACATATTGTAAAAACTTAAAAAATCTTCTTTTAAAGAACCCAAAGAGCTAGAGTTTAGATATTAAGCATGAAACATCATCTAATGGGTGTTTACCAAGTTTGTTCAAATAAAAGCCCTAGGGTCAAAATTGGCCTCACCCCGGAGGTCATTCATTTTCCCTATATGTGTAAAACTATAGCAAAAATTGAAAAATCTTCTTTGAAAAAACTCAAATAGCAAGAGTTTAGATATTAAGCACGAAGCATCTTCTAGTGCATGTCTTCAAAGTTTGTTCAAATAAAAGCCCTGGAGTCAAAATTGGTCCGCCCCGGGGGACATTGATTTTCCTTATACGAGTATAGCAAAAACTTAAAAATCTTCTTTTAAAAAACTCCAATAGCTAGAGTTTAGATATTAAGCATGAAACATTTTCTAGTTGTCTACAAAGATTGTTCAAATAAATGCCCTGGGGTCAAAACTGGCCCTGCCCTAGGTGTGTCATTGTTTTTAACTATATGTGTAAAGAAAAACCTTTAAAAAATCTTCTTTTAAAAATCCCAACGAGCTAGACCTTAGATGTTTAGCATGAAACATCTTCTAATGGTTGTCTTCAAAGTTTGTTCAAATAAAAGCCCCGGGCTTTAAACTGGCCCTGCTCTGGGGGCCTATGTACAGGTGAGCGACTTCAGGGCCATCATGGCCCTCTTGTTTAATTTTCCATCAGAGATGTTTAATTGAAATATAACAGACATTTTTCATATATTTTTCATTCCCCAATCCTTTTGTGAACAGATTTTATTCTGCTTAATGAGGATATTTAAAAGTCTTGAAATTAGGTAAAATGGTCAAATAAAAGCTATATATGATAAAATGTGTTGCATATAATATAAAACATGTTGCATTTATTCTATTATTCTTTATGCAGGTTTTATTGAGTCTTGCATTAGAGAAGAACACAGATCTAGGAAAGCAGGTTGCAGCTCAAACCTTGGCCAAACTTGCCATTACACAAGATCCAAACATAACATTCACCGGACAGAGAGTATGTTGTTGTTTTAATTATCACTGTGCTAGATGTGTAATATATTGTATTTTCCAGAAACGTAGAGCTATATCAACCTACATGTAGTTTGGCCAGACTCTATACTGTTGGCTGTTCCCACCCCCTTTTGGTGTCAAAACTTCTAAAATATCAGTGGTATCATAGTATTATATTCAAAGACAGTTCAGTTTGGTGGTTTCTAATTAAATTTATCATCCCAAATTACTTAAAAATACATGGATAAACTGGGAATTATTTTTAAAAATTGAGCTATTTTCAGGTGTGGTTCCCATTAATCATAAACTTTAAGATTGGCCATTATTCTTTTTTTCTTTATGGATTGTCTTCAACTTGGACACAACAAATCTTTGAACAGGACCTTCAAGTACATCAGACTGAACATGACCTTGACCTTCAAGGTCAAATGCTTAAATTTTGATGGATTTTTTTTAATTAGCTATAACTTTGTTATTTATGAATGGATTGTCTTCATACTTTTACACAATTCCTTTGGACAATTCCTTGATGTTAACAAAATTGATTTTGATCTCAATCATCAGTGACCTTGAAGATCAAATTATCAAACTTTGTTTGATCTTTGCAATAATTGACTATAACTTTGTTTCAGCATGGTAAAAGTTTAACAATAGGATTTAATGACTTATCAATGTAGATAAAACAATTTTGTAATTAGATATTCTGATATTTATAGATGTACGAAGTTGTTCGCCCACTGATATCATTATTGGATGTAGAAAGGACTGGTCTACAAAACTTTGAGGCACTTATGGCACTGACTAATCTGTCTTCCATCAGTGATTCAGTGAGGTAAGATCATTGTTCTCCCCTATGATTTTTAATTTATCCCAGATCTAACTTATGTAAGATATTTGTTATTCCAACGGTTTAATATTTCATCCCAGATCTAACTATAGTTTTCATTACTGATAATCAAATGTCAAGAATTCAACGAAAAAAATAAATACTTTTTGTATAATAGCAAAAGGGCAATGCATAATGAATATCAAATTAATAAATTTAACTTTCCAATACATAATAACAAAGATACAGGGGATGATCCAAAATTACATAGACATTTCATGTAATTGTTATATAGTTCAACTCATTGTATACAAAATAACACTATTGATGAATTGGAAAATTTCCAGCATATTTTTACAAACTAATAGAAAAAATAGCAAGTTTCTGAAAAAGCTACATATGCTCTACCATTAACATACATCCTTTTTTGTGAAGAGACCACTTTTTGACACTCACAAAAGCTGTCTCTTAATACAATGTTGACTATAGTTATTTCATGAAATAAAATACTTGAAAGCTAGGTATCAGAACATTATGATGTTTTATCTGTTATATATTGATGTTACCTCAATGCAAGCATGACCTATAATATATTTCAGACAGAGAATAGTGTCTGAGAAAGGTGTTCCTAAGATAGAGTATTATATGTTTGAAGATCATGATCTCATACAAAGAGCTTCTATTGAATGTATGTGTAATATGGTGATGAATGAAAATGTAAGTATCACAATTTGTTGTTGTTTCACTTTATGATTTGTTGTGCATTGACAATCTTTATGACGGCCATATCAACCTTGTCAGTACATTATGGGCAGAATTTACTCTTATCAGAAGTTTAATGTTTAAATTTCTATATATGTTCATGCCTTGTTAGACATTTCTCAAGTTGACATTCTATAAGTAACAGATCCCTGTGAAGAAGTGACAGATCCCTGTGAAGGTGATGATAATTATTAATAACCTGAGAAAGATAATTTACTGAGGCTTGAGGGGGGTTAACATTATGTACTATCACCCTCACAAAGATCTGACCATTTTTAATTTCTAGAAAATTACATTTTAACTACAATTTTTCTTTTAATATCAGTGTAAGAAGGAAAAATATAATTTTCAGTTGTTAACTTTATGTCAAATGACCTTTGTCCTCTAAAGCAACTGTTACAATAGATTTGTCTGTACTGAAAACTTGAGTAAACTATCCAGCCTGTATATGGGGGTAATATATATACTTGTAAATTTTGTGTTTAAACAGGTAGCTAAATCGTATGATAAAGAGAATGACAAAGTGAAGTTTATGGTGTTAAAGTGTGCTGATGAAGATGACAAATGTGTGCGTGCTGCATCAGGTGCCCTGGCTATACTTACAGCAGACAGCGAGATTGTGTGTAAAAAAATACTACAGGTATTACCTATGATCTTGTACTGAGTTTCCTTTTTTATAACACTTTAAAAAAATTCAGAGTATACAGTAAACTCCGCTTATAACGAACTCATTGGGACATTCAAATTCTGTTTCTTATATCCGGAGTTCCATGTAAGCATATAGCGAATTAGTTCCTTGTATCAGGAGTTTTTATAGCGAACAGATTTACATATAACGAACTGATTGTTAAACATCATCCTCCATTTTGAAGAGCATTTGATTAAGAATAATTAGTCATTTATTTCTTTTTTAGACACAATACCCGAGAGCGTACATTTTGGAATTGGAAAATCCTTTGCTATTTTAGTTTTAGTTTTACTCCCTTTCTCAATTTCTCATAAAATACCATATTTTGTTTCTTAACTCAGTGCTTTTCGTTTCCTTATTTTGTTTCTTAACTCGGTGCTTTTCGTTTTCTTTCCATGAATAAGAATAAACAAGATTTTCCATTTTCCTTCCTTTTATATTGAATATCTTCTATTATATTTTTAGGGTGACTTTTATTTATGAAATATATAGATTTCTTTTCATTTCAATCAAGCATACTTTGTAGTTTTCTATGGATTATGTTTGCAAGCATGCGTAATTATGTTGAAAACCGATTATAAAGATTATCATAGATATATTGAATTACATACAACAATAAACAGTACATTCTGCGAGTTTTAATAAGTGCCAATGAAAATGAAAGTTAAAAATGCGGGATATATTTACGAATAGCCGATATTTGGAGTTTGTTATAAAAGTGTAATTTTCTGCACTGTTAACTAAATTGGGACTAAGAAATGAGTTCCTTATAAGCGATAATTCTTTATAACCATGTTCGCTTTAACCGTATATTTTTATATTAAATAAAGAAGGGCAAAATTCGGGCCAAAATAAATTATTCCTTATAACAGGAAGTTCGCTATAACCATGTTGGCTATAAGTGAAGTTTACTGTATTGTTTTGCACCTAGTCATTCATCAGGTTTTATTGGTGAAACTATCATGCCTAGATCTTAGAATGTAGCATTGCCTTGTTGGCCTCTACAGAATTAATATGAATTATGCCCCTTGGGTTATTATTGGCCACATCCCAGGGCTCACATAAGTCGTTATAGTCTTGTATGAAAAAAAGACAGTTACTAGTAAATCTTATTTTGTGAAACTACATTGCCTAGAGTTTAAATTTTTGTCATGTTCCATTGCCTTGTTGGCCTCTATTAATTCATGCTATTGGGGCCAATATTGGCCGAACCCCAGGGGTCACATGTTTTATATAGACTAACATGTGTATATAGGAAAACTTGGTTCAGTCTAAACACGTGAAACTACAACGTCCAGAGCTTGGATATTTGGCACGTAGCATTTCCTTATGGACCTCCACAATACTAGTACAGATGTGTTACAGAGGTCTGTCTTAAAATTTAGCAAAACTAAAATAGTTACAATAAATTTCTTTAATTACAGGTAAACAAATGGGATGAGCTTTTAATGGCGGTGATAGTGAATGAGTCACCAGAAATTCAGCACCGTGGCTGTTACATCATCAGAAATATGGTACAGACTAGTAAAGAAATAGCAGAGACAGTTCTGGAAGGCCAGGTATTAACTTTACTTATTTAGTATATTATATGTTTTTACCTATAAGACATGCAGTCATGTGCAGGATAATTTAAAACTGAGCTGTTCATTTGGCATCTGTGGAAAATTGGTTAAAATTGTTGACTTTAAACTATTTGCCCCTCATTACAGTGAGTTCAAATCCTGCTTGAGACCGACATGATCATCATATTTCAGTTTTGAGCCATAAACTGATCTTTAGAAAGTATAGACATTAAATGACAATAAAAATTGAGAAAAGGGTCAACATTTAACATGATCAACCCTTACTCTGCTGTTACAGTATAACACAAATGCCTTTCACTAAATTTGGAGTCTATTTGATTCAATATAAAGTTTTATAGTCTTGTTTGTGAATGTATTGGTGGTTAAGGTCTGTAATAGTTACTTTAACACTCATAGGGTCATTTCTCAAAGTATGTACTCTTTCATGGTCAGAAAATGTCTAACTTTGTATTATACTTAAAGGTTAAGTAGTTTAAATACAATTATCATTCAGTTCTACCATTTTCATTAACTTGTAGAGAAGAAATCTTTATAAATGTTTACTGTTTGTGGTAGGTGTTGGATGTTTTGATGGCAGTATCTGTGTTGGAGGCACCAGATCGTCAGCCAGCCAGGAAATGTTGTAAGGAAACATTACAACTGGCAGAAGAATACAAGATTATCCAGGAGAATCCAAATAAGTGATAAAAAACTTGTGTAAACTCATAACAGAGTTGTGTAAACTCATAACAGAGTTGTGTAAACTCATAACAGTGTTGTGTACTCATAGCAGAGTTACCTACCCTTTTAGTGTGCCAAATGGATAAATCCCAGCTTGAGAAATGTTTTATCCTGGAGAAAGGAAATCTAATATTTAAAAGCAGCATGCTGTAAAGATATTGGAGGTGTTTAATAGACTACATGATACCAATTTTAGCACAGATTCTGTGGAGAAAAATAACTGACAATTTTTAGGTGTATGGTTACTTCAAAAGTTATCTACATTGAAAAATGAAAACAGAAAAAGTGGTTTAACTAGTTACATTACTGTAACAAGCAGTTTTTAGTTTGTCTAAAATAGTTGAAATTTTTGGGGTAAAATTGAAAAATTACCTACAACAAGAATGGCAGTTTCTGGCATACATATCAAATTTTTATTGGTCTACCATGACACTACACTTGAGTGTTTTCTTTCCTATGATCTGATTTCGACTTTTATTTTCTTTTTTGTGAGTTTATTTGTTATTTATAGTCATGACAAAGATGGACAGCTATTATTTAAATCATATTCATTTACATAGAAATAACAACATTAGTCTGCCATAAATGCATCAAAAACTATGGTTAGCTGAAATTCATTGAAATCATTTTATCATTATATAATTGGTGCTAAATACATTTTCATTGTTTTGTCCTCAACATAGTTTGTCTTTGGAAAGATTGAAACAATTCCTAAATATACTTGGCAATGATCGTAGGAGGTAACTAAATGGGTTACAAAAACTTTAGTCATCTTTATGCATCTCTTAGCTCCAGCAGGTGAGATGCTGCTTTAATGTTGCAACAGTCCAAGGTTAGTCAAAGTCATCTTACCTGTTTCTGTGCCTTATGACCTACAGTATGCTTTGTGTGGTGTGCCTTAAAAGTAACAAACTTGGTAATGATACAGGTGTACAATGTATAGAACTATAGTCTTAAATTTCTTTTCTGAAAAAATAAAGCCGGAAAATATACATTGTTGATCACAGTTTCAGTCTGTATCTGTAGACAAAATATTATGTCATGTCATTTGATCACATCAGCATTTCTTTGTACAGTAGTTGTCTAGTTATGAATAATGTTTGCCTACAATATGCCAATTTGCTTTTTTTAATATTTATTGTATGAGTGCAATATATACAATATGCATATGATATTTATAAATGTAAGAGTGTTTTATATTTATGATGTAAAGTAAAAATTACATACAGTCAAAGTAGCATGTCTCCGATTCATAATTTTCATGTCATATAAACAAAACTGGCAATTTTCGCCTAATGAAATTAAAACATGCATAAAAATATGCATGAAAAGACCTATCACCATTAGTTCGAACAAGATAAAATCATTCATGTAGTGTAAATATTCATGTGCTTAATAAACTCTTTATATTTTTTTCATATGGAAATTTGTTAACTCATTTTAAGATGTGTGGCTTTTAATGAAGGGTATCTCAAATCACATGAAAAACACCTGTGAAGAGACCATCATAATATTCCTTAAAATCTGCTGTAAGTCACCTCTAGTAAATAAGAGCATCCATGGCAGCATGGTTAAGGTTGTTTACTTCAAACCGCTTGCTCCTCATAGCCCAGTTCAAATCCCATCAGGGTCTTCAGATTCTTTGAAATGGGGGAGGGGCTTTTTTCGCTTCCTATCAGTGTCTTCAGATTCTTTGGACTCCGGGGAGTGGGGGGTACATTTGCGAATCCTATCAGGGACTTCAGATTCTTTGGACTACTCGGGGGAAGGTGGCAGGGCTCTTCCACCATTTACATGCAACAGCTGTGAAATATCAAATTTCTAACTGTTACACTGCTGAAATTACTTGCTGATTTTTTTTCCTTCCGTTTAAGATGTCCATTGTGAAATGAACTGGATTTCTGTATCGAAACAGTCCTGCCCAACTAAATGAACTTCACTGTACTGGTAGCATAGGCTAGTCGTTAATTGGAACAATTGTAGTCTGTCTGTGTATGAACCACTAACATACCATGTTCATTTTTAGCTTTACTTTTTCAAAAACTTTTTTTGAGTTAATGCAACAGTCAGGTCATTCCCGTTGCCATTGCCATCCAGAAGCTTTGAATATTGACATGTTTTTTGTAAACAAATCTCTTCTGGTAAAATTTCTATTGTAATCCAATTATCATAATTTGAAGCAGAAAGATCGGTGTCTTGTAGGGATCTATGCATCAAACTGAGCCTGCAACATTTTAAATTTTGCCATTTTGGACTTTCTTTAGGGATTCTTATTTTCTCTATTTTTCTATTCGACACCTTTCAAGGTCAAATGTTTGAATTTTGCTTGACTTTTGCTATGATTAGCTATGAAATTGTTATTTTTTAATGGATTGTCTTCATACTTGGATACAACAATCCTTTGGACAAGACCTTCACATAGACCAAATTGATCTTAACCTTCACTCATCAATGACCTTGACGGTCAAATTAATGAATTTTGATTGCTTGTCCTTATAAATGGCTATATCTTTGATATTTATGAATGGATTGTCTTCATCTCTGAGCAAAACTATCTTAAGGTTAATGTCTTAATTAAGACTGTCGGCAGACATCAATGCTCCATTTTTCTCAGTGCTGAAAGTATTACCCAGTGAGCAAATTCTATAGGAATTATTGCTATGCAGGCAAGCTACAGAAAATAGTGGATACAAAGTCTTTCATGTAAATTTGATGACAGAAGTCTGATGCTGCCGATTGAAATAGTTTTCTAAAATTATTCTGATCATTCATGATCCTTTTAACAAAATCAGTTTCAGATACACATTATTTTTCCGTCAAATATCTTGAAGAAGTCATATTTATTATGAATAATAAAGCATACAAGTTAACTTTCTTTATTAAGATACATGTACTAATAAAACATTAATAAAACACTAAACAAAAAATTAGCCAAAATCATCTTAATATATTTATGTTGAAATATTTTGTCAATTATATTAAATACAATATTGACCCCAGAAAGACACAAGTAGAACCACTGGCATTCTGGCCCCTGTTCACAAAGATTTAAGGATCAAGATCAGGATCAAATACAAAAACTCAAACATTCTCCATACTTTATCATCATAGATTAAATATTCCATATTAACTTGATAAAACTGGACCTGAAATAGCATGTTTATGAAATTTTAGAATAAATTTATTGTTATTTTTACAAGATACTGGCATTTTACAGTTGATCCAAATTTTGATCTTGATCCTAAAATTGATCCTCATTTTGATCCGATTATTTTTGTATTTGTTTTGTTATTTGTTGATTTTATCCCAAAATGGGTTGGTTTCTTTGCAAATAAGCATATATTTTCATTTCGAATAAATACCATTAATTATAGCATAATACGATCAGTTTTAGTTTTATAAAACAATGAAAATAAAATCAGGATCAGTTGATCCTGATCCTGATCTTTTTTTGTGAACACGGGGCCTGTAGCTACCTCACATGGAAAATCCAAAGTTCCTGTTTGAATGCACAGCAGTAAAGGGGAAAACCATATTGCAAAAAAAAAGAAGAAAAGATTCAATTATACAAAAGGACCACAAAATTAAGTTCAAGGGAATTTTGAGTCAGCCACATGGCATACTATACACCTCTAGTTGGGAAGATTAATGGAAGATGGACAGTAAATTTTTGAAACACAAGTTTTTATTTTGTCTTGAAGTGAAAATATCTCAGATATGAATACAAGAAATGATGTTGTTACTGTTAAAACAACAATGGCTTTCCTTATAACATTTATGAATCACATTTTTTACACTGTTCACATGAAGTCTGCTAAGCTATGTTATACAAAATGGTCGACCATTGTTAACATTCCTCGTGGGCGAGAATTTTCAAGCAACATAACTTTGTAATGTTTTCTAGTTTAAGAAGTTATAAATTCCTTCTTTTATTCAGGTGAGGAGTATTCTGTCAGCAAAACACCTTGTATAAAATATGTACACCAGTATCGTGGAGAACTGGGCTATATTTGAAGTGTTTCATAATTATTCTGCAACACTTCATACACTTTCAAGTATGTTTTACAAACAATGATTGTATCAAGTCATATAAGCTACACAAACACTCATTACTGAAATTTGGACACATGTCTTTCACAGTGATAATATACATAATTTAAAGTTACGTCAATCTGTAACACATACATCTACACACTTTCCTTTGTAAATGCCTTGTAGTGACTTTCCAGCTTTAATGGTGAAGGTAGACCTCAAGTTCCCCTTCTTGTATTAGGCACAAACAGACACTTAAGTAAAACCACTGATGTTCCACAAGCAAGCTGGATAGCTTTGTCACATGAAAGAATCCAAAGTCATGGCGGGTTTTGTACCCCGAGTTGAGGGGCAAATGGTTTTAAGTGAACGAACTTAATCACTCGACCACAGGCACCTCTACATGGATCTTTCATGAAGATATGTAATCAGCTTGATTGACTTTAACATTATTACATAAAGTACCGGTAGTCACTTAGATCACTGGCGAGTAAACAGTTATTTTACTTTTACTTGTTTCTCTTGTCTTTATACTCAATTTGATCATCAATTTCAGAATTTATAATTTCATTTTCTTTAACTTCAACTATAACTGCCCATTTATCATAGGCTATACTTCTCAATTTTCTTTGCGATGACATGTCTCAAATTGTTTTCTTTTTTACTTCTGCCTCCATCAGTCAACCTTCACTTGGTTCTTCACCAATCTCTACCTTACATACATTTTCTAATTTAATATCTACAAATGGAATTGCATCTTCTTCAACAACAGTCATAATTTTTCTTTTCTTTCTTTTAGATAAAGTTGTACCTTTGTTTACACTTTTCTCAAGTTTCTGCTTATTTTCTTCAATTTTCTTTGTCCCAATATATTTAATATCTTTAGTGTCTTCAACAGATTCTAATCTGCCTTCCATTACTTGAATTCCTTTTTCACCTGCTCTAATACTATGGATGAAATTCACTCTTACAAACTTATCACTTTCTTCAGTGCTTGTACCATCTTCTGCTTTTTCTTCATCAATATCTTTTTCAACACTATCAAAACTGTCCTTGACCTTCATTTGTTTCCTCTCTGACCTGAGTCGACCTTTGAATCTTCCCTTACTGTCTCTACCTGGTGTCAAATACAATCCCTTTTCCTCCAATTCTACATCCCAATCTTCATCTTTAGCATCATCAATATCAAAATCACTATCCTCATTGTCCACAGTATCATCATCATCTTCATCCTCTTCATTTTCATCATCACTAGATTCAGTCTTCTGTTTTCGTGAATTACGGCTCCTTAATACCCTTGTGCTCTCAGCAACACCCTCTGTTTCAGTGACTTCCTTGCTTTGTAGGGATTTGCTAGTGTTTGTTAAATATTCTTTATATTGTTTGGATACATTTGACATATTCCCTCGATTTGTTTTTCCTTGCAAAAGAAGAAATTTAAGATCACCAAATGCATTTTAAGGTGGCCAATTCTACTTATATACATATATTGCATTTGTATATAAAACCAGTCAGGAAACATGTGAAAAAAGCTTATCAACATTATACTTACCTTCAACTAAATAAAATTTTCTCTGCTTTCAAAACCAGTTCAAATACTTTTTCATGTTAAAGCAGAACCAAAGGTAGAATTCATATATTATTTCATCGAAATAGGCACACAGTAACAACAAATGATTTTAATTGATGCTAAATACGTTATCATCATTTACACTTTAAGTTTAAAGTAAGTGCCATTTACAATATCCAATGGCCCTATAAGTACAGAGTTCAAAAGCCTAAAAACATTCTTACATAAATCAACTGACAACAAAAAGATAAACAAAGATAATAAAGATATATTCCTAAGTAAATTTAGAATTGTATTCTTTGCCCAATTATAACAAAGTGTTTAAAAACGTTTGTTCATTCTTTTCACATGTAAAACAATTATTCTGGAAGAACAGATTGATTGATCTGAAATTCTTTTCATACAAGTTACTGGTTTAAACCTATATCCATATACCTCAAAAAAGAAATATTTCCTGTCCTGCCATAACAAAAAACTTCACTGAAGACCCTTTAAAGAGTTGAGTTATACCCTTTAAAACTAGAACTGCCACTATCATGGCTTGAATACCCCCGCATACCACTTTGTCAGAATCAACAGTGGCCATTTAGAGCTCAAGAACAACCTCCCTGCCAAATCTGAGGTTACTAAGACAGTGCATTGCTAAGTTATGTATTCTACTTGCTTCAAATGTGAAAATGTCAAAATCAATACATTGCGGACAGGACATTCTTTAGCAATTGAGAAGAAAAGCTTTTTTTTTTGTCAAGGTCCCTGTGACCTTGACCTTTGACCCAGTGACCTCAAAATCAATAGGGGTCACCTTATAGTCATGATCAACATCCATACCAATTATGAAGACTGTCGGTCAAAGGAATCTTAAGTTAATGGGTAGACAAACTTTTTCAAGTCAAAGTCCCTATGACCTTGACCTTTGATCCAGTGACCTCAAAATCAAAAGGGGTCATCTACTAATCATGATCAACATCCATGCCAAATATGAAGACTGTGGGTCAAAGGAATCTAATGTTATTGGGCAGACAAAGTTTTTGAAGTCAAAGTCCCTGTGACCTTGACCTTTGACCTGGTGACCTCAAAATCAATAGGGGTCATCTACTAATCATGACTAACCTCCATGCCAAATATGACGACTGTAGGTCAAAGGAATCTTAAGTTATTGGGCGGACAAGCTTTTTGAAGTCAAGGCCCCTGTGACCTTGACCTTTGACCTGGTGACATCAAAATCAATAGGGGTCATCTACTAATCATGATTAACCTCCATGCCAAATATGAAGACTGTAGGTCAAAGGAATCTTAAGTTATTGGGCGGACAAGCTTTTTGAAGTCAAGGCCCCTGTGACCTTGACCTTTGACCTAGTGACCTCAAAATCAATAGGGGTCATCTACTAATCATGACTAACCTCCATGCCAAATATGAAGACTAAGGGTCAAAGGAATCTTAAGTTATTGGGCGGACAAGCTTTTTGAAGTCAAGGCCCCTATGACCTTGACCTTTGACCTAGTGACCTCAAAATCAATAGGGGTCATCTTCTCATCATGACTAACCCTCGTGCCAAATATGAAGGCTAAGGGTCAAAGGAATCTTAAGTTATTGGGCGGACAAGCTTTTTGAAGTCAAGGTCCCTGTGACCTTGACCTTTGACCTAGTGACCTCAAAATCAATAGGGGTCATCTACTAATCATGACTAACCTCCATGCCAAATATGAAGACTAAGGGTCAAAGGAATCTTAAGTTATTGGGCGGACAAGCTTTTGAAGTCAAGGCCCCTGTGACCTTGACCTTTGACCTAGTGACCTCAAAATCAATAGGGGTCATCTACTAATCATGACTAACCTCCATGCCAAATATGAAGACTAAGGGTCAAAGGAATCTTAAGTTATTGGGCGGACAAGGAAAAACCGACGGCCGGACGGACGGACGGCCGGACGGACGGCCGGACGGACAAGCTGATTCCAGTATACCCCCCTTACAACTTTGTTGTGCGGGGGTATAATAAATAATAAATGTTTCAAACAATTTAAAAAAAGTAGTGATGTTGGTTACATAGAGGATATTTGTTTAGTTCAGTGTAAGATTGTAATATATTTCACCGAGTGAGCACCAAAAGGTATATTTCACGAGTGGCGCAGCCACGAGTGAAATATGAACTTTTGGTGTTCACAAGGTGAAATATATTTCGATCTTACACTAAACTAAACAAACTTTCTTTTTATTATATGCAAAGAAACGTTTTAAAAAGACAATAAACCTATTACTGAATGAAAAGCGCGCCAAATAATAATACAACGTGACATCATTTACGACGTCACGTCATTAAGTTGGTACCCAGTACTGTGCACGCTGGTATTTCACTGAAACAACGTAAGGGGCTTAAATTCAAAACAGTGAAATTATCAAAGTGGTAATTTCACTGTTTCAAACAGTGAAATTACCAGTTTTATATCACTGATATATTTCTATAAATCACCGAAAAGCATGTAATAAAAGTATATATATACCTTCAAATGACTGTTCCCTCTTCTGTTTACTTCCAGTCATTTCATCTGTAAATAAAATGTGGATATACATGTATATCAGGCCAGCTTAATAATATCTAAGTTATCCTTCCCAAAACCCCTATAATTTTGTTTTAGTGAGTAATGCCTATATGGGTGGGTGGGTAATGCCTATAAGAGACGGTGGGTAATGCCTACCGGTATATGGGTGGATAACATAATCTTCAGAAGTTCAGTTTCAAGAAACTCGTACCCTTTTACAATGATAGGAATATTGTTTTACAGGGGTTCTTTTGTTAAATTCTATTAATTAATTCATTACAATTATATATTATTACATGTATAATAAAAAAAAATTATGTGGCTCTTTAAAGGATTCTACTGAAGGTTTTACATGTCGTAACTGGGAATATTTTTTTTTAGATTTATAGGTCTTTACTAATAAATGTCAGTGTGCAAAATTTCAGATCATTTGCTCAATTTGCTCAAAAAGAATAGCATTTAAACACATTTTTTGGACCTCAATGGAGTTCCTTAATGAGGAAAGTCATAAGCCCTTTTAACAGAAACTTTATATACTGAAAAGAAACTTTCTCCAAGTTTGAATGTAGATATGTTAGTACAGTTTTTCAATCCTTTTGAAACTTGATTTTTACGTTGAATAACATATCCGGCTTTTATACGGGGATTAGCGGACCGATTTTGCAAACAAAGAAAGTTTTACAAGCTACTACATGTATATAAGTGTGTACATCTAAGTGGTACCCTTGAACAACAGGCACATACTTTGCGAAAGTTTCTTTTTTGGTTCAGTACACATCTTGTAAATTTAAGAATGTTCTTTTAAAACACAAATATATTTTACCTTTCTTAAATGACACAATTCCTCCAGTTTGAATTTCTTGAGGAGGTTTTAATTTGACAACAGGCTGATATTCTGTTTCCAGCACTCTCTGTGTAACATTCTTGAAGTCAGCTGGGCTCATTAGAATAAATTTCTCTGCACCACTTTCTAATGGAATCATTTTCATAGCTGGCTGATTAAGTTGTAATGTTGTACAGGTATCAATATTTATATTTTCTTCCTCCCTCTCTTCACCAGTTGTCATGACATTACCATCAATCTCCTCTATTGGTCTACTTATTCTGATTGGTGTTTCATCTTTTTCTGCATTATTAGTATCACTTTTACAAGATTCCGTATCAGAACTATTGTCTTCAATCTCTTCCTCATTCTCCTCGGCATGGAAAGATTCTATGATATATATAATAACAAATCTTTGAAGCTTTAACGCTTACTCCTCTAAATATCTTAAATTGACTTTTCTAATCTTTCAAACAAGACAAGGCCATCTATCATTTTTATGAAAAAATTCAAAATATGTACGGACTGAATAGTGAACTGTGCACACTGGACTAGGTAGATTCTGTTGCTGCCAGCAGGCCAAGGGTTAATATAAAATTTTCTATCAAAACAAGAGCTGTCAGTAGGACAGCATGACTCACTTTACTCAATGCTTGGTTATACAACAAGAGCCTTGATAATGTAGAAGTCCAAAAATGGCCATAATTCTGCTAAAATTCATACTAGAGTTTTGGGCCTTGGACATTGAGCTCCTGTAATGCTCTCAAGTCGTTTTAGAAATCAACTAGACAGTGTTGCATGCCAAACATCTAAGTTCTAGCCTTTGTACATTTGGAAAAGAAGAAAATTTAAATTTTTACCATATACATGTATGTTATAAAGAGAAAATCAATGACCCCCACACCCAACTTTGACCCCAGGACTACAATTGAACAATGTTGATAGAGGTCCACATGAAAATGTTACATACCAAATATCTAACCTCTAGCCCTTACTTTACTATTTAATGGTCAGAGGTAGAAAAGATGAATGTATATACCTGCACAATAATTGAGAAAATCATACAAGATATGTGCTTTCTCATCAATATATTCATCACCACGTGGAGTTCCCAGGTGACCAACCCATCCATTTGAAATGTTAACTGTCACAACAAAACATTCCTCACCAATCTCTGCAAGCTTACTACACTAGAATAATAAACAAATAACAGTTACACTACCGTGCATCACTAAAATTAAAAGAAAATTTGCTTAATTTATATCACCTGTTGCATGATACAAATCTGTTTGTATATATAACAAGAAGCATATACCCAAGCTCTCATTTATAACGGTATACATTGAAATATTGTTTGTCAAAGGCTGTTTTTTTTTATCTATACCAAGTGATTAAGGGGATCAGAGCTATTAGCCTTTTAGCATATTGTCAATTATCAATTACTGGTCAATCACCATTATATAAGTCAATCTTTTGAAATATAAATCTGATTCACCTCATCTTGACAACAAAAAATGAGCACAATGTCACTTTAACCAACAGTATTTCTTAAATGGTCCAGATTCAATATTCTTAATTTACCAGATTTCAAGTTGAATATTTAAGGATAGTTACCGGTAGGTAACAGTATAGAGCCTTGATGTACATGCTGGCCTGGGACAATACTGACTGAAAAGGCTAAGTTGTCCCAGCAGGTTAAGGGATAGTAAAAATTTGCTTCTTACCAGACTTTTCATTGCTCTTTTGACATCCCATCTTAATGCAGATCTTTGTATATCCAATGTATCTGCCCAGGACACACTGAAATAACATACAATATATCATGAAAACTATCAACTGATCGGCAATCAGTGTTATATCTTTATGTTTAACCTATAGCTTGCCGTCAACAACGGAAATACATTGTCGGGCTGCCAGCAAATCAGGCCAAAACAAGAGTACCACTAAGGCCGAGCAATATACGCCTGGTGACACATTTATAAGAAGGTATCAGGGACAAAGATGTGCCTTCAAGGAAGATACCAAATTTATTGTTGTAAATAGCTCAAATTATGAAGACAATCAATTTATGAATAACAAAGCAATAGCCAATTATAGAAACAAGAGCGATCAGTTATCTATAAATTGATTTATAGAAGAAGTCAACAAGCAAATGCTTCATGCCAAATACCTAAGCTTTAACATTAAATATTTAACATGTTATTATTACCTCTCTTTATCTGAAGCTATTAAAATGAACAGTCACGGGATAATTTCCTGCAACTTATCATATTGGTGTTTCTTCTTTTGAACATATATTTTTGTGGTACTGTATAATAAAACAGATACAGCATCTTTACATCAGCCCTTCAATCCATACTAGTTTTTCAATTAGAAAAAGACTGTCCACAATAGGGCCAAACATAGGTAGCATTGTCACAATAAACAACTGCAGGTTCTCACATTTCTGCAACTATTCACCCTGGTATAACATTTTTAAAAGTAAAATTCTTAAACTATAGAGGAGATAATTCTTGAAATAAAAAATGCTGGACTTATGAACATTGCCATACATGATGTGATAGATGACAAAGATCAATTATCTTGTTACAAAGATGAAAAGTGAAAAATAACAATTTTCAAATACATGTATATACCATAACAAAAATGAAAATTTAAAAATAAATAACAATTTTGAAACAAATTCAAAAAGTTCAAAATGAAAATAATCATGGAAAGCCAGGCACTAGATTTATAAATCTAGTCATTGATAATGAACATATGTTTAAAATTTGAAGTAAAATCCATGGAGAAATAATAATGTTGTAAAATAAATAACGCAAAATTCAAAGTTTAAGGGGAAGATAATTCTGGAAATACGGATGTAAGATTTGTAAACCTCGTCATTATTATTATGATGTGGGAGTTTGAAGTAAATCCCATAAGAAATGAAGAAGTTTGAGTAAATAAATAATAATTTCTAAAAAAAAATCTAAGTTCAAGGGGGGAATAGTCAAGCTATAGTATTGAATCTTCTCACACATAATTTAAGTGGTAATAGGGAACATAAGTTTAAGTAGAAAGAAAGTAGTCCAATGATTTCTTTTAATTTTATTTTTGTGAAAATCAAGCTATATAATGAAGTAAACTGGTCATACCTTGGATAAGAGCTTCCCTGACTAATAGTCCGCCCAGTTGACATTTTATCTATCCCCTGCAATGCAATATCAATTAATATCAAATCAATGTTTACAATGATATAAAGTAAATAAGTTGAAAAACAAGAGCTGTCCTGACAGACAGCACACTAATTCTGGGTGCAGTAAAGAAATACAATACTATGTCTCACAGGTATCGGGTGCAAAGGTCACATGAATGAACATGCATAAAATTATGTCATCTGAGAAACGATCACATCAATATCATGTTCTAACAACCAACTAGTTTGCTGTTTCAATCTACTCGAGGGATTTCTAAAAGGTGAATAGGTGTATCATAGAAAATTCAGTGTATATATGGAAAGTAATGAAAGTTAATGCATTTGACACATTATCTTCATGTTCAACACATTTACGCCAAGTCAATAGGAATAACAGAATTGTTGACCGACAACAACAATCACTGCCCATGTATCATGACTGTATGGTAAATTGTGATCTTTACCTTTAACCTAATGTCAAAATTAACCTGTTATTGACACTGCTGTCATTGCAAGGTGTGAATTATCTTATTTTACTTAGCAACCAGACACAAACAAACAGAAACACATGTTTGCTCATGGTGTACCTATATTTGTAATGTTTTGATTGAAAACATTACAGAGAATACTGAATATTGGTAAAGAAGGAAATCCAATTACAGAAACGAGTGAACTTCTTGTATTAAATAAAATTTAGTTTTTCTATTTCTCTTAGATATTAGGTGCCCATGAATATGGTGATTAGATACTTAAAGTGTAGATGGAAAAAAACCTTGATATACATTGATATACATTAATTTAAAACCATCCAGAAATGACAGAATTCTTGATCAGATATGACCATCAATACAAATTGATGAAAAATTCTAAGTATGATCTTAATCTTTGAGCTGCACGCCTGTTTTTTTGCATATGACACATTATCATGATGTCTTACACAGAATTATTTTAAATTCCATCCAGAAATAACAGAAGTGATTAACAGTCCTGACCATTAATACATTTTTATAAAAAAAAAATCCATTGAAGGTCTTGTTTTGATGATCTTTTTGTAGGATGTCGAGCCATTGTTTATAAATATTTACAAAGAATTACAGTCAACCCGGCCCCAAGTTAATCCGGCCGCAAGTCAACCCGGCCTCAAAATTGGTCAACCCGGCCCCAAAATTGGTCAATCCGGCCCAACAGTGTTTTTATTTGGTCAATGCGGCCCCAAAATTGGTCAGTGCGGCCCCAAATTCGGTCATTCCGGCCCCAAAATATATATTTTCAAAGAAAACTATTCAGGTCATTTTGTTGTATGATGGAATAGATTAAATGGTTTATAATTAATTGAATATTATTAACTAAAGAACAATAGTAAAAAAAAAACATGAACTGGCATAAAAATGACAGTAAATTTAATTGTGCCGATTAAGACTTTAACAGTTTAATACGCAATGGTGATAATGAATAATTATATAACATCAACAATTATATGTACATCAACATTATTTCAGATGTGATAATCAAACAATTTAAAAAGGTATAAATAAGTTGGTAGTATCTTTCATGTCTTTATTCGATGTAAATTAAAGATGGTTTCGTGAGTGTTAATTAAATAGGAAGAAATGCATTGAATTTCGAGTTAAAAGGTTTGTATAAATTAAGTTTCCAACAATCTTTTTTTCAGTTCATTTGAATGTTTCTATTGAATACGTTCATCAGTATAATTAATATTTGTTTCGTTTTTTGTTAACTTATTTAAGTTATTTTCAAAGATTATTTACTGTGTAAAAAAGTATTGGAATATTACTAAGTGTTTGAAAAATTGATAGTGTTTTGTTTTAAATCACTTTATGTCGTCATGACTGATAACTGTATTGATTGTGGATATTTTGAGCGTGACAGACAGGAGGCAGTGACCTGCGATACCTGTGATAGATGGCAGCATCTCTATAATTAATCTTACTTAAAAACTGTTCATGGAAACACTTAAGTGTGCTTTTGGTCATTTCTTTTTTTTTACATACAATAACATGGTAATGATTTGAACACATTAAGGTTTCTTTTCCATGATCTGTCAATAAAAAAGTTTAGTTTTTTCTTAATACTTCTATCGCATTTCTATCATTTCTTGATAAGTGTTTATATTTTAAAGCAAAATAAATAATAAAAAATGGGGCCGGGTTGACCAGAGATAACATTGGTTTGGGGCCGGGTTGACCAATTTGGGGCCGGGCTGACTTGCGGCCGGGTTGACTTGGGGCCGGGTTGACTTGTACCGTTTACAAATTATGGTTGATGTTAAAAATAACATTTATCTAAATAGATAATCGATTATTAATTAAGGATTAAAGTGTCTTAATTGTTTGTGTGCCATCAACCAATCAATATACTACATTTTTTTACGATTTTAAGTTTAAAAATTCCTTTGTAAATGTAATAAAAAAAGGGCCGAAACGTCTCGCGGAAAAGGGCCGAAACGTCAAGGGGCCGATTTGGATTGCGTTATAGTAGCTATGTAATCTACTTTATCTCAGTCTCTTGTATGTGATATCATAAAGAAAACTGCTAACGTTAGGTTATCTTATCTTATTGACAATTTTTACCCCAATGCTTCTATTTAATCAATTTTGATTAATAAAACATGTAAAAAGATGCTTACTTGCTTCTGTCTTTCTTCTTACAAATGCCGAAGCTTTATGAAGGGAAACAACTTTTGAATAGAGTGTTATGTTTCGTACCCATATCTGTTCGTATCTTACCGTATGTTAACGCAATAAATAGATTAAACCATAGATTTTAGCAGAGTATTATTATACATGGCTATATACGGACATAAATAATGTAAAAATATGTCAATGTTCCTGGTTGGAGTGACAAAAGTATTGCAAGGCCTCAAAGCCATCTCTAAATTAATTAGACAGAGTTTAAATGAATCCCCCTTACCTGAGGAATTACCCTGATGGGTCTTCCCCCACTGACAGTTATTCCCATATTTCAAAATGTGCTAATTAAGGTAAAATATACAGTTCAGTATGCAATCAAGTTGTTGAAAAAAAATTTCAAGATGTAAACATCACATCATTTCTTAATGAAAATTAATTATTGCTGTACAATGAATGACGTTATGTGATTGGTATTACATGCAACAAAAATATTCCTGAAGATCCTGCTTAAGTTGTTTTGAATTGATATGTTTATCTGCCAAGAAAGTCATACTTTTATTGATGTCACGTGATGAAGATATGTAACAGGGATTTTATCTCATGCATATATCATATTGCATATTCTACAGTGCATGAAAAAAGACTGAACATTGTCTAAAAAATGAAATTGAAAGATTTTCTTTTCTATTTGTTAATATCCGTGTGAGGTCATGTATTCTAGTGCCACACAGGCTATTTATCAATACTCAATCCACATTTCATCCCAGTCATACATACCACAATTATATAGAGGATATTTGTTTGTTTCAGTGTAAGATCGAAAAATATTTCACCGAGTGAACACCAGATGCAATATTTTCCACGAGTGGCGTAGCCACGAGTGAAAATATAATAGCTGGGGTTCACGAGTGAAATATTATTTGATCTCACATGTAAAACAAACAAATTTTCTGTTTATTTCATGATTTTTTAACGATTTTTAAACCATTTTACTGATTTTTGCCGCGTAACGTCATGCTCTTATCTTCATGACGTCATCAAATAATGACGTCACAATGTTGAAGCAAAATATAATTCCATGATTATTTTTAGATTTTAGATGTTTTTCAGCACAACGTTCGTAAATATTTACGAACTACAGTTATCACGTACATTTTTTATTATGATTGACTACATTTCCGCTGAAAAAACATTCATTAATGATAAATATTTTATTTTTACGCCAAATATAGTTCGGCTACTGTGAAATTATATTTGGTAATCATTACTGTGAAATTATCAGAATATAATTAACCGTTATAATTCAGTAATCTACTGCAAAACATGTAATAAATATAAATATTTATTTTCAGAATAAATATATCATTTATATAGATCCTATGTACTCTTATAAATCTCAGTTTGAGAAGGTTGTCTTCAGAGAGCTAATGAGATAGAATTGACAATATTGACAATAATAAGGCCACTTATAAACATATTGATTCTTTAATGTATTAATTAAAGGCTATTCATGCTTAAAATCATTACCTTTAACTAAAACAACCACAAATTGATGTTTGATCACTGATTATTATACAATAGAATCGTATTAAATATTAATTAATTTTGTTTATCTATGTATACTTATCAACATTATTATAAGTTACAATTATTTATATTTACTTATTTAGTTATTATAACAATTACCCGTACGTATGAAAGTACCACATCAGTAAAGTTGATGAATTTATAAAATTATTTTTCCAATATTTATGAATATTTTACACCATACTTTACATCATATTTTACAAAATCCAATATTCACAAACTTCAAATTTATAATGAAAAAATATTATCAGATATCTACTAATTTTTGTAAAAGTCTAATTGATATTAAAATTTTATTGAAATAAAAGGTAACTGCTTAAATACATATAATTGGTCTTGTGCACTTCAAAGTGCGCTGTGTAATGCACTAGAAGTGCACATTTAGTGCACTCCAAGTGCACTCTGTGTAACCTTTAGTGTGAACTTAACTGTACATGTATACCAGTACTGTACAGATGTTTACATATATCCAGACAGGAGGTATCTTCTGTCCCAGCATACATTTTTGATAATTTGGATTAAAAAATTTGTGAAAATAATAGGATTCATATAGATCCACGGGGCAGATACCTATGAATCAATTGACCTGAAATGTGATAATAAGAGAGAAAAAAACGTGAAACAAGCTGATTATAACACGCAATAATCGTCAAGTGAGTTTCAACTAGGCCTTCACACTGAAATACACATAGCACAATAACAGATAAATCGATGTTAAAGGAGAGTAAACGAGGTAGTCTTTATTTTGTTTCGAAACATTTTTTGCCGCGGAGATGTCTTACACACAATCGCCTTTTAATACGAAGAAGTCGCCGTACTCAGGGAGACCGCTACCAATGACAACGGGCTTTGGGTTCGTGTCTTCCTTGGCAACTGAGTTACTGCAGATCAGAGAAAAAAGAAAACCGTGGATATGATAGAAAATAAAACGGTAAATATGATAAATTCTAAGGTTGTTGATCATGAAAAAAATGAAATCTATGAACAGACGATTAACTGACACCGAAAAGTTCTGTGACTTTCTTACAAGAGATAACAAGCAAATTCGTTAAATTTATATCACCCGCCGACTACTGGTTATTACTAACACAACAAATGGAGGCATCAAAGGGCTTCCTTTATATATTAAACATGGCATAAACAGTAATATTCTTTGTACATGATAAAATTGAGGACAACAACAGAGGCCATAACGCCGTGTTAAATAGTACAATCTGGACATGCCAATGAGATGAAAATTGCCTTTTTGTATTGATAGTTCCACGGATTTAAATTACATAAATCCGTGATAGTTCCAATAAAGTTTGTTTTAATCAATCCAGCAGTTGCAAACGAAATAGCAATATTGCTCTACAACAATAGAAAACACCTCATTCATTTTGAAGAAAAAACGGAGACGGAAAAAACTTGTACAACTTTCGTTTAGGTGACTGTTCGAAAATGTATGATGATGATGATGATGATGATGATGAATTTAAACTCCGGTTATTTTTTTGTGATTATACATTTGTTGCAAAACGAACCGAATCATCTCACAATCTCGCTGCATAAACTCGCGAAACATATATCACAAAAATATGTCGTCTGCAATATTCCTGTACATGTGCCATTCAATTTTCATTCAGCTTTTATTCACAAATCTCACAGCAGAAACAGACGAACCAATCACATCTTGATCTAAAACAACATTTGAATAACATAAACTCGCGAAACACATATGACTCAAATGTGTCGTCTGCAAGTTCTAGAAAGTGTGCCATTCAATTCTCATTCTGCTGTTATTAACATAACTCGCAGACACAGACGTATCATTCAAACAATATTTGAATAACTGTTTTAAACTCGCGAAACACATATGACATAAATGTGTCGTCTGCAAAATTTTGCTGCACGTGTAATAGTGCCATTCTCTGTTCTTTCTTGTGTGGATAACTTATCATTCAGATACGACAGTATCCTTATTATTTTTTTTGGCCCCGAAACATCAATTAGTTTAGAATGCACAAGTGTCGTTATGGTCTTTACTTAATTAGAACTGGCTCAACATCTTGTGCAACAAATGTCACTGTGGCTATAGTAACGCAACGATGATTAAATGAAATGTATCATCTGAAAACGAAGATTGTCAGCTTTCAGAACAAATGCAAACTTCTTCAATCGGGCGCGCCCAATGTCGCATAATTCACGGGCCATTTCAGTACAGTTTTCGATGGAATTAAATCGTAAGATATTTAAAGAAAACTTAAAGAAACCGTGATGAATTTTATGGGATATAATATAGACCGAAAATGAAAATAAACATGAGTATTTCTTTTATATAAAAGAAAATACTTGGCAAGTGCTTTTACATAAAATAAAAGCCCCAGTAACAGTAACAATAAAAAGTTACTTGAGAAAAGTATTCGGTATATACACCTCCTACGCCCTTTGCTACTACTGAAATATAAATGTTTGAGATCTAAGATGCATGCTGGTTAGCAGATCACTACTGGACAGCGGCCGTATTTCGTGTTAAATTAACGTGTGTAATTATGTTTGTAATAATTTAAAACGTTAAACATTTTCGTCGTTTCGATAGATGTAACGTATGCATTCATTTCAAATAAAGTATAACAGCAACGAACTGACGTTTTACACGTGAATGCGCAAATGTTGAGAAAGCAAAGCCCTAAAGGAACGTAATAACTCATTTGCTGTTTGTAGCAATGACAATGGTCGACGGGAGATAATCCTGAACTAATCTTTCTGAACTGTTATAACTGAAGAAAAGTATAATATTTTCGAAACTTTCCCATTATTTTCCTATGTTTTTCGTGCGCTATTAAGCTTCTTTTTGAATTGTTAAAAACAAGTATAAAGAAAGGCTAAATTCATTTAAATGGAAGCTTCGTTTGTTTACAAACCCACTAAAGTAGAGAAATTTTCTTTTTAAAAATGTACCCGAAAAAGGGGCTGGAGATAAAATGCATTACATAACAAAACGAACTGACTTTTACAGGAAAGGCAAATTTGAGAAAGAAAACCCAAAGGGAACGTAAAATCATTTGTTTTTTTAAATAAAATGGTCACGGAAAAATCCTGAACTAATCTTTTAACTGTTATAACTAAAGAAAAAAAATATTTCAAACTTTACCTTTATTTTTTCCTTAGATTCGGCGTTTTGCTGTCTATTGTTTTGTTAAAAATGTAGAAAAGCAAGGCAAAATTCATTAAATGGTAAGACTTCGTTTAGCTTACAAACGACCACTAAAGTAGAGCTAGACTTCGTTCTTAAATGTAGCCCGTAAGATAGGCTGAAGACGATGAAAATGCTATGTATACATCCTCAACATATTTACAAATACCCTGAAAGAATTCGAGTCATAAGTTCTGGGCACTTGCTAATTAATGAAGTCATAAGAAATCCATTGGTCAGTTTGTTTCTTTACTTCTTAGAAGAAAACGAAACGTTACAATAGAAAACACCTCATTCATTTTGAAGAAAAACGGAGACGGAAAAA